GAATTAGTGAGTGAGTCGATATAACCAAAACAGGACGTTATATCTAAAATTAAAAATGTAGGACGCCGTTACATTTGATGGAAAATTCACTATTCCCCGTCATCTTGTTGCAGAAGCCTACCAGGTAGATTACCCCAAAGGATACCTAGCTCCTGCAAGTAACGTAAAAAAAGAAAAAGGGAAAGGGAAAGAAATTAAACTTTAACCCTTAACACGCTTTGATTAGATGCCAGGCTAGGTATGGGTGATTTCGGTAGTATCGATTGGAGCAAGACAAAATACAACTTTGACATATCCGATGTTGCGCCTATCCCCAATCCATTTTCAGGGGTTTTTAGAAGCAAACGTGCATGTTAGTAAAATCATATAGCTTATTTGATTTTATATTAATACAAACTTTTAGCCGGAGATAGCCGCTATTCTGTCGGGGCTGCCTCGTCCGGATCTTCCGGTTTTCGTAAGCGAGGACCTCTTATTGATAGCGTTTTATCATCATCCTTTTTCATCCTTGGTAAACTAACAATATAAGCTTTATAAAGATATATTTTAACACTGAATTACAGGTGTCGACAAATCATTTTATAAAGGTCCTGTATATGAATTACCATTGATCCCGCTTATGGGATTCCGATCGCCATTTTGGAAGATACCGGTTACAGGGTTTCAGTTTCTCAACATGAATGCAACTTATCAAAGTAACCCTCAGTTTTCTTTTCCATCTGGGGCATACGGCAAAATCGACTCAAGTAGTCCAGTTTTAACTGTGCCTTCAGCCACTGCAGATAAAATGAACAGCGCTCTCGGTGCTGTTTACAATGCTAATCTCAATGTCTATACCATACCTTGTTCCTTTTATGAGACAGCCCCATGGTTAACAATACAATTCGGGATAGGTGTAAAAGCACACATTCCCCCGAGTCAGTACATATATAAGTTTGAAGGTGCCAATGGTGGCTGTTACACTGCCATAGCTGGTGGATCAGACAGTCAAAACGTATACCTCGGGGGTCCATTTTTCAGATCTTTCTATTTGATTTTTCATTACAGCGGTTTTAACGTCGGAATTGCTGAAAGTTTATCTAATGAATCTGGAAGATTGACTGTGGATACAAATGGAGGAGGTCCTGTCCCTAAAATTTTAAATTAGATAATTTTTATTAAAGATTAAATAGTAATAACTGTAAAAGGGCTATTTTTTTTTATGAGGATAGCATTCTATTAACGGCTTTGATCACTGCCTGGATATTAGGTCTTGCTTTAGGATCTGTTTTCAGCATCCAAGAAATAAAGTCCTGGAATGTTTTCGAATAAATTTTACCAGCTGGAAATCTAAATTGTCTATTTAAAACGGCTAAGGCCATCGTGCCACCCTGTTGGTTTATAGTCATTTCGAATGGAGATTCTCCGTATGCCATAGCAAATAAAGTGCATCCCAATGACCACACATCCACTTTTTCATCCAAAACAGTGTCGGGTTTTACTTCAAATAATTCTGGTGCTCTATAAGGCATCGAGCAATTTTCCGCAGCGTCGTCCTGTTGTTTCATCGCAATCTTTCGATCTGTAATTTCTACTCTTGCTGGTCTCGCAGATCCAAAATCCATCAAGATAGGTAATTTTCCATCATCCGACAATAGTACATTACTAAAAGAAAAATCAAGTATCTGTAAGTATAGTGTTGAACAGGAATTACGCAAGTTTACGTACGCAGGTTTAATATCTCTATGTGCCCAAGGAATATGTTTACCAGCTCTGTTCCTATACTCAGCCAAGACCTGAATACTTATGCAAATATCTCGAAATAAAGTCAGTATGAGCTTTTCCGGCAACATTTTGCCTTGTTGGTTGTTCCTTTCGATTAAATCTTGGATGTTTCCTCGCTTTGATTTTATTAAAAAAGCAGATTAGAGATTATCCATGTGTGGTATTTATTTTTTAATTACCTTATAAAAAGGCATGATGATATAGATTGTCTTGCTTCCATCCTCCTCTTTAATCATGCACATATCCTATGTACATATTGTCAAAAAATATTTTAACTACCTGATTACTTTTATTTACCACAATCTTGATAATATTCTGGTGCTGAAATCGGTCGGTCATGATAGCCTCCTTTATAGCGTTTTCAGCAACTTCTTTACCCATTTTGCATCGAATCGTTTTAATTGCATACAATTGTTTCTTCTCATCTTCAGCCAAATAAACAAATGAGAAACCACTTCAAAACGTTGTTAGTCTAAAAAGCGTAATCATTGAACTTATTTACGTCGTACCCTTCGCCTAGTAGCTTTGTAATTGTATAGTAGCTTCCATTAACTTTTATAATGGTATTCGGAAAGGTTTTTGCATTAGAATAAGTATCCACAACCGAATCGACAACTGAATTGATGGAGCCGACGAAATTATTAAAAAAAGACATGAGAGCAAGAATTAGAATTTTGGTCCAGAAATGATCTTTCTTGACGTAGTTTAAAAACTCGAATTCTCCAAATCGGACTTTACCCCGCTTGTTATGTCCTGTGGATTAGCTGATAAAAGACAGAAAAAAACATTTCTATTAGTTATTGCGAGCCATTATTTCTAAAGAAGGGATTATAGACTGTATCTACCTTAAATTATGAAGAGAAATTTTTTTATGACGGTTTTTGTTTTTTTACCGAATGTTTCTTTAGAGGCGATACATATGTAAGCCATCCTTGATTTTGTTCCAAGATTAGCGCTCCACAGTATTAGACTTATTTGAGTGTGAAAAAATGTGTTTACTCTTTGTTTTTAGGAAATTAATGTGCGACGTTTATAAAAAACTTGATCTGTAATTTTCAGTAACCTCAATTGCTTACGTGATTTGGCCATTTCCTGACACATCATATCTTACTTGGGTTATTATTTTTGGTACAGAAAGGGGTTCTGGCTTATTGTCAATTTTCTTTGTAAAGGCTTTTTTTAATTATCTATTAAACGTCCCTCATGTTTAAAAAGAGATGCTCGGTTAACTACTTGATAAAAGCATGAAGAAAAGTATTTTATAATGGGCCGTTCCAAAGATTTTTTTTTAGTTGCAATTTGTCACACCTCAAGTGAAGAAAACAGCAAACTAAAAGTTTGAAAACGTGTTCGGAGCCATGCCAGAGCATTCAATAATCTAGCTTTAGTGTCAAAATGTGTGCCTTGATATCTTTATACTATCCGTATATGGTTTGGCAATTACTGATATCCGACTTCAAAACATTAATAGAAGGCATAACTATAAACTTATAATGTGATATTAGGAAAAGCGAATCAAGAATAATAGAATTATATTCCTAAGCATTTAAAGTTTGGGTCTTTCAGACCTACCTCCCATCTCTCAGAACTAGCATTATTTAAATTAAACACCCTGTTATTTAGTTATTAGAATATGTATTAAGTATATGTATTAATGAAAAGTTGTCTTGTTAAGGGATAGTCATATATAAAGCTATTGCACTATGGAAGAACTTTATGTGTTTTTTTTAAAAAAAAGAAAAAACTAGTTATGCTGGTAATCATTGTCTTCAGAGGGAATTTCGACTTTGTCGCCCAAAGTGTTCTGTGCTATCCAAAGATGGCCGTACGAAACCGAAAGCATAAGAGCAATAGCTGATGCAAGGTCGTTGAAAATAAGTGAGACAACGAATAAAGCGAGTACTGTATGGATGGCAAAAATTTCAATGAAATAGCAAATTTCGAACAATATGAAAAGCATGGTGTAAGCAACCAAGCTAATTTTTGCTTTTCCATGTAAAAGTGTATGGTTAAGCGCTAAAAGTATTGCGAGTATAACAGCAAGCGCAACATGTCCAAAGACTATGAGATAGTATGAACCGACAGAATCAAACCAAACATTTTTTTCAATCATAACGTTATATACAATGCCTATAATAATCAAGATGAAAGCCCAGAGACAACCGATAATAGCAAGCGCAGTGCCGAACCTACTGCCTTTTTGCTTGGATATACGATAGAAGCCAACTAATCCGGGTACAAATGCAACGTGTGTATATATTATTGAAAAGACAGATACAGCGGCTCTAGTGCTCACTATACGGTCGATATCTTCTTTTACCGCAGCATTTATAATAGCACATATTAATGCAGACAGAGCAGCAAAAAAAGCAGTGTATGTGATTGGCGATCGGTATACCGTACCCTTGAATAAGCAGAAACATATTTCAAGTGTCAAAAAAGAATATATGACTAGTGGGCCTAAATATCCAAACTCCAAATAGCTGTACATTTGTGATTTGTGGCAAAGGAACTAAAGAAAAAGAGAAAAGATAAAAGAATGAATGATATAAAAAAGTAAATTATAAATAAACAGGAAATGTCGCTTAATTATATATACTAAGGGATATTGTACACTGCTTAGCCTGCCGTCGTACTATTGTGGTACAATAGAGAAGTAGGACAATGTAATTCTTTGGTAAACTTCATATGACCTATCGCAATGCATGCTGAGCAACACCTCGTCTAGTCAGCAATACTTTGAGGTACTTTTAATGTAGGTGAAGGTGAGGCGAAACATACATATAAGCAGGTATTTTGAATTTTTATTGAATGTTTCTTAAATCCTGGAGTTCTCTGTATAACACAGTATCAAATGAGTAGCTAAATATTTCAATTCTATTGGATATTGCACTAGAAATTTTAATATTAAAACGACCGTTTTGTACCGTTGTGGTAATTTTCTGATCTAGAGATATGCTGTAACCCCCATGCCTCGTATAACCATTGTATTACACGTACGGCATTTTCACTAAATCCCCTCATCAAAAATCAAATGTTGTGTTTGTCTCATCAACGCCTTTTTCTGAAGTAAGTTTAAAATTCACTAAGGATCCAGGCATAGATATTTTTAAGGACCTTCAGCCAGAAGTGCTCAGGTTTTTTTTGTTATATCTTGTGAAACCATCCCGAATCAGAGAACAAGTTTTTTCGGTAGTATAGAGATATTTATTTTCAAATGACAAGTTGTAGTACGCAAAAGAAGCATGACATGAAAAACAAAATAAATAACTAAGGCAGACATTTTCCCTAAAATTGCGAATGTTTAATTTTTTTAAATACCACGTTTATTATAATAACCAGGCAGTGTCACCGAACAAATCAGTGAAATAATTTGGATGCTTGCTGTATGTGTGATGTTGCCTTAAATTTTCGTGATAATCACCGCAAAATTTCTATCGCGGTCAATTTTTAATCAAATATTAACAAGCAAAAATGCGATGAATTTTCGCCCGCCGTCGCGGCGATGGTGGTCAATTTTTCACAGTAATCGCGGCGATGGCGGTTAATTTTTGACTGTAATCTTCGCGAATGCGATCAATTTCTGCGCTTTTTGACCGTAATCTTCGCGAATGCCATCAATTTCTACACTTTTTGACCGTAATCTTCGCGAATGCCGTCAATTTCTACACTTTTTAACCTTTTTATGAAGAATGCGATACTATTACTGGTCGTATTTATCACGAATGCCATCAATTGTTGTACTATTATTGGCCGGTATCGTTATATTGTCCCTTGCTTATCAAATTTTATACCCTTGTATTATGAACAATTATGTGTTTATATTATGAATAATTGAATCTATTTTTTATTAAATGTTTATAAAATAACAACGGCAAAAGGAATTATGGATTATGAGGTGAAATTACAGATAAGTGGATACATAAATTACCGATAAAATAGATACATAAGAGTAAATTATACAAATAGAAAAGTTACATACCTACAATTAAAAATATAAGTGATTGGCTTATGTAGGTTGCAGTTGCTATTTTATTTACCTTATCCTAGTGTATTCTTTGTATTAATACGTAAGCGTATTATACGAATAGAAAAGCTACATACCTAAAATTAAAAAAATATTAGTGGGTAGCTTACATAGGTCACAATTGCTTCTTTATTTACCTTAGCCTAGTGAGTGTTTTGTATACGTTATATCTATAGACTACTGTGTTAAAACATAGTACAATTATATACAATAAGTTACTAACATTTCTATCTAGTGGCAATATAAAGAAAAGCAGGTATAGTCAGTTGTAGAGAAGAATATTGGACTTAACTTGACGGATGTAAGATGTCCGCTAACAGGTTTACCTAGTGCGTGGGTAGGGAAAGGGTACATCTATGTCAAAGTAAGTTATATTTAATATTTATAAACATACATAAAAAATTTAAGTACAAAATCAGTTGTTGGGGGAAGAAAAGAAAAGTTTTATTGCTATGTAAGAAATATTGAGAAGGTTTTTACTAAAAATCTTGGAATGGACTTTTAAAAAAAAGGATCTAATCCAAACGAGCTTGTCGACACACTCTTGGCAACATTGTTTTACTGTATCTGTATTAGCCTTTTAATTAAAATCTTGTTCTTCTTAAATTTCTGCTTTTGTTACGGTTCTGAGTTACAGTACCTTCATGTTGGATTGGTGAAAATCATAACGCCATAATTTAAGGCCATTCCCTGGGTTAAGTCTTACGTCGAGAACGAGCAAAAGAAGTTTGTGGTTTAAGATGCTGACGAGATTATGTGCCCAGCTGTTCTGACCAATGCCACTGATTATCCATGTCACAATAACTGGTGATGCGTCTAAGGCGAATATGTTAAGAAAATGTAATTAACGTGACACAAAATATCAATCCCAGTCCATAAGCCAAACCATCGTTCTTGTTTCTCGTGTAAAATCATCAACAATTATCATAAAGCACTAATTTTTTCGACTATATTATTCTAATAATCAACCCTTACTTTTCGCAGTAGCAAAATTAATATTTGTAGCCGTTTGTTTCTTTTTCAGAGTTAAACATAGGCGATTGGCGGTCAATATTTGATATTTTCGCCAAAAATGCGATATGGTCAATTTTTAATAAATCTTTTTCAAAATTTTGCAGTGAACCTCAATTGCTTACGTGATTTGGCCATTTCCTGACACATCATATCTTACTTGGGTTATTATTTTTGGTACAGAAAGGGGTTCCAGCTTATTGTCAAATTTCTTTGTAGAGGCTTTTTTTAATTATCTGTTAAACGTGCCTCGTGTTTAAAAAAGAGATGTTCGGTTAACTACTTGATAAAAGCATGAAGAAAAGTATTTTATAATGGGCCGTTCCAAAGATTTTTTTTTTAGCTGCAATTTGTCACACCTCAAGTGAAGAAAACAGCAAACTAAAAGTTTGAAAACGTGATCGGAACCATGCCAGAGCATTCAAGAATCAAGCTTTAGTGTCAAAATGTGTGCCTTGATATCTTTATACTATCCGTATATGGTTTGACAATTACTGATGTCCGGCTTCAAAACATTAATAAAAGCCATATAAACGTATAATACGATATTAGGAAAAACGAATCAAGAATAATGGAATTATATTCCTGAGAGTTTAAAATTTGGGACTTTCAGACCTACCTCCCGTCTCTCAGAACTAGCATTATTCAAATTAAACACACTGTTATTTAGTTATTAGAACATGTATTAAGTATACTTATTAATGAAAAATTGTCTTGTTAAGGGACAATCATATATAAAACTATTCCACTATGGAAGAACTTTATGTGTTTTTTTTAAAAAAAAAAAACTAGTTATGCTGGTAATCATTGTCTTCAGAGGAAATCTCGACTTTGTCACCCAAAGTGTTCTGTGTTATCCAAAGATGGCCGTACGAAACTGAAAGTATAAGAGCAATAGCTGATGCAAGGTCGTTGAAAATAAGTGAGACAACGAATAAAGCGAGTACTGTATGGATGGCAAAAATTTCAATGAAATAGCAAATTTCGAACAATATGAAAAGCATGGTGTAAGCAACCAAGCTAATTTTTGCTTTTCCATGTAAACTTGTATGGTTAAGCGCTAGAAGTATTGCGAGTATAAAAGCAAGCGCAACATGTCCAAAGACTATGACATAGTATGAACCGACAGAATCAAACCAAGCATTTTTTTCAATCATAACGTTATATACAATGCCTATAATAATCAAGATGAAAGCCCAGAGACAACCGATAATAGCAAGCGCAGTGCCGAACCTACTGCCTTTTTGCTTGGATATACGATAGAAGCCAATTAATCCGGGTACAAATGCAACGTGTGTATATATTATTGAAAAGACAGATACAGCGGCCCTAGTGCTCACTATACGGTCGATATCTTCTCTTACCGCAGCATTTATAATGGCACATATTAATGCAGACAGAGCAGCAAAAAAAGCAGTGTATGTGATTGGCGATCGGTATACCGTACCCTTGAATAAGCAGAAACATATTTCAAGTGTCAAAAAAGAATATATGACTAGTGGGCCTAAATATCCAAACTCCAAATAGCTGTACATTTGTGGTAAAGGAACTAAAGAAAAAGAGAAAAGATAAAAGAATGAATGATAAACAAAAAATAAATTATAAGTAAACAGGAAATGTCGCTTAATTATATATACTATGGACATTGTACACTGCTTAGCCTGCCGTCGTGCTATTGTGGTACAATAGAGAAGTAGGACAATTATAACCATTGCATTACACGTACGGCGTTTTCACTAAATCCCCTCATCAGAAATCAAATGCTGTGTTTGTTGCATCAATGCCTTTTCCTGAAGTAATTTTAAAATTCACTAAGGATCCAGACATAGGTACTTTTAAGGACCTTAAGCCAGAAGTGCTCAGCTTTTTTTATTATATCTTGTGAAACCATCCCGAACCAAAGAACAAGTTGTTTGGGTATTGAGATTATCACGAAAATTTAAGGTAACATCGCACATATAGCAAGCATGCAATTTTTTTCCTGGTTATTATAATAAACGTGGTATTTAAAAAAATTAAACATTCGCAATTTTAGGGAAAATGTCTGCCTTAGTTATTTATTTTGTTTTTCATGTCATGCTTCTTTTGCGTACTACAACTTGTCATTTGGAGATAATACTACTAAGCCGTTCTAGATTAAAGTCTTTGAAATAACATACCGTATTTTTTAACAATCGAATAATCATGTACAGTGATGAAGCTGTATTAAAAAATAGTACTATACGCACGAAACAGTATCTCGCCTTTCTGTTCATCAAGATTGATAGTTACCATCGTGGGAGTAAAACTAAGCTCTGCCTTTCCAGTAATCATAATGGTCTTTTTGTTTAGCACAAACTAAACAACCTTGCATGTTGTTTGACAGTTACGAACAAATATTGCTTCAAAAGAGAGTTATGTCATGGTTATCCAGCAGATCATGATATTATGTGCATTCTGTAAATTTCTACCACTAGAGTTGAAGACATAACTGAACAAAAACGAAAGAAAAAAAAACTAATATATTTTTTATAACATTATAATTTAAGGAATAAAATCTACTTCTTCTTGGGAGCAGCAGTGGCGGTGACGTTGAACTTGAAGAAGATAATATCACCATCTTCAACAACGTAATCCTTACCCTTTTGCATATATTTACCGGCAGCCTTGACAGCAGCTTCGGTACCTAATTCATGCAAATCGTTATACTTCATGACTTCAGCCATAATGAAACCTCTTTCGAAATCGGAGTGAATGACACCAGCGGCTTGAGGAGCCTTTGTGTTCTTACGGATAGTCCAAGCTCTGACTTCTTGAGGACCAGCAGTGAAGTAGTAACATAATTGGAGAGAGTTGTAACCTTGAACAATAATCTTGGGCAAGACGGAAACAGCACCAGTCTCTTTCTCGATCTCGGCCTTTTCTTCGGGAGAAGCAGCAGTGAGACGGGATTCATAGGCACCGGAGTAAGGGATCATAAGATCACCAGCAGAGTTAGCATCAATCCAAGCTTTGATCTTAGCGAGCCACTTGTTCTTCTTACGAATATAATCCTTTTCGGACAAGTTAGCAAGATAGATAACAGGCTTGGCGGTGATGAGATGGAGACCGTTGATGACTTCGATTTCCTTGTTAGTCCAAGTACCATGACGAACATCATTACCAGCTTGAACCCATTCAAGGACCTTTTGGACAGTAGCGGCTTCCTCCTTCTTTGCCTTATCTTGAGCATTACCACCGTTACCGATACGACGGGCAGCGTTGGCTAATTCAGTAGCTTGTCTGCTAATGAATTCAATATCCTTCAAACGTAATTCTTCACGAATAATTTCTAAATCACGGAGAGGATCTAATTCACCTTCAACGTGAATGACATCGGGTTCATCGAAAGCACGAACAACATGGAAAATGGCATCGACAGCCTTAATGTGAGACAAGAAAGCGTTACCTAAACCAGCACCGGAGGCAGCACCCTTAACGAGACCAGCAATATCAATGACAGTCAACTATTCGGAGGATTAGCTTTTTATTTCTAGATCGCATTGACACACAAAAACACAAATACACATAGACACACACACTCTCTTTTTTACGTCTTTTTTCTCTTTCCCCAAAAAAAATCTCCATTATAAAATACTTACGAAAGCAGGGATGACCTTGTTAGGCTTGGTGTGGGTAACTAACCAATCGAAACGAGAATCAGGGACAGCAACACGAGACTCCTCAGGATCTATAAAGTGATTATGTCAATTTTTAGAGTGATAAACTATATTTACTCTTTTAAATACATACCAATGGTACAGAAAGGATAGTTCTCAGCGGCAGCAGAAGCGTTGGTAAGGGCGTTGAAGAAAGTAGACTTACCAACGTTAGGAAGACCGACGACACCAATCTTCAAATTGTTAGAGGGACGACCAAGCATGGCCTTTTCTTCCTTGACAACCTTCTTGGGAGGCATGACTATTTTTGTTTGCGTTAGACTTTTTTTTTTTTTATATAATTTTTTAACCCTGAAAGCAAAGGTTTTTAATTGACAAGTGATGACTTACTGTAAAATGTGCAAAAAGTTACGTTAACTGAAAAAGAAGCTTGCTTTTGAGACTTCGATATAGTCTTTAGAAAAATGAAAAATTTTCGAAATTGCAGTGATGTCACTTGCGAGTCACTAACGATTTTACTTACAGGATTTTGACTTTATTGGTCAGAAGCAAAAAAAGAAATTGGGTATTGATCTGACCAATTTAAAAAGCGCTTTTGACCAACTGCACACTTGGGCCAAGTGTTTTTTGGGGATGCTCTTTCGTTAAAATCCGATATATGCAGAACTTATCTTTCTTTTTGACGTACATTTGGAGGCAATATCCAAACCTACGTCTGTTTTAAATTTATCTATTAAAAAAGCATAAAAAACACGTAGAAAAAAAAAAGGTAGTCAGTTTGAGAAATATATATGACAACCTCTAGATCTGCTACGATTATTTATATCTTAATTTGTTTACAAATCTTTTGATAGATATGGGAATAAGTTTATTTGCGGGAAAGTTTATGCCGATAATAGGAGGTGGCTTCTCGAATCATCTCTACTTGGCTCTAGATACAATCACTCTAGAATGAAAGGGAGAGGGCGAGATAGCCCACGCTAGCCGTAATTTTAACTGCTTTAACTGTTTAAACAATCAAGCTTGTGTCTGACCGTCCAATTCAACCAATCCATCGTGTTTGGCCTTGAGTCTTTCATGAATTCTATTTTGACTTTTCAAAACATTTATCAAGATCGACATCAAGTAGACACCTTGTTCGATTGTCATAGATTGTTGCAAGATCACAACTTTCTATTCCTTTGTACATGTATCTATGGAGATAAAATCCCTCATAATAAGACAAACTTTACTACAGGTTCAATCAAAATCGCCCATAGCGTCATCCTGAAGTCTATCCCCAGAAAACTTAAGCCAAAATTACCAACGACTCGATTACGGCACTGGGGATTTTTGGCCGATTTTGCGAAAGTCATAATGACAGCAACGGGAATAAAAGCATGTAGTTGCTTGTCAGTAGACATTATTTATTCTTTGTCCACATTCAATCAGATTAAATATATTTAAGTGTCAGCGGTTCTATCATATTAACAAACTCCTCATATAATGTCTCATTATAGTCAACATCATAACCCATCACTCTGGCCGATAATTCGTAAGAGCAATTATATTGCAAACGCCTGTATTCCACTTTAAATTTATGTGTCGAACGTTTTTGGCGGCCGGTGTGTATTTCATGTCTTACACCTGTAGTGTGTTTATCTAAAAGATTATACTTCTCTGACTGAACCCCCTTGGAGTTTTCTACACTGATAATCTCTAATATAATAATTAGTCACTCCTTCAAGAATATGGAAAAAGAAAAAAATTGATTAATTACCTGCTAACGGCTGGTCTCTTGGGATTTCTTCGACTTTAATTGCTAAACCCATTTTTGAAATATGTTGCCCTTTCTTAATCAATACCAAATAGCTACCATCATTATTTATAATTTTTTTGACATCGTTACTCTTGTTTGTGAGAAAAAAAGAATAAAGATTACCTCCATAAAGGGATGAAAACCGCACCGCATGTGTTTTACTCGATACTTGACACAAAGTCCCAGTGATAAACCTATCATACATGTATGGCTTATTGTGTGTATTTGGTTTCAGTAACTTGCGGAACGACTCTCTTAGTATAAATCCTTGGGTATCTCTTTGATTTAATTTAATACTGTCATCAATTGCTTGTTGAGCTACCATAGTGTATGCGTTATAGATCAAAGATCCATAGGACAGGTTAAATGGATCACCCGACATAAAAAGATAATCTGTTTCGTAATTTCCAAAAATCTCTTTGTTTGACAGAGAAGCCGCTATGACTGCTGCAATTTCTTCCATAACTGACTTTAGCCCTACTTCAATTACATTACAGAGAAAAATATCAATATTACAATCACATTTGTCGTCGATGTTAAGCTTTATAGTTGAATTCATGTCCAATTTGTCTCTATTCCTCTTCAACTAAGGATATTTATTAGTTAATTAATAAAATGATTGTATTTTAACTTACAAGTTTTACTACACATGACTTTAGGTTTTGACGCATATAACCACATTTTTGGATTGATCCAAAATCGTTTTTTGTATTCTTATTTTGCATATGTGTGGTACAAAAATCAATTTGATAGTTGCGTTGCATACGCATCCAAATCTTCTTGACAAGAGTATCATATACGTCATTAATATATATTATTTTATCTTGAATGACGATAGAAGCCGAATCACTTCCAGACGATTCAAGTTTCACAATTTGGTGCATAGTAAGTTGTACATGTTTTTCGAATATTTGTGCCACAACAAAGTATGATTTCATCTTGAAGTTTAAATCTTCAAACTTTTGTTGAATAGCAGGTAAAATTTCTTCACCTCGAATACAAAATTTTGCTTTGATAAAATTGTTGTCTTTTCGGAGTATACCACTTGCAAAAAACAATTTTTCCAATTTTTTTGTTGAACCAAACATAGTGTCCAATAAGTTCTTATCGATACACACCCCGTACCAGATACTCTTGTCCCTCCATTTATTTCCAATTTTATCTTCCAATTGTTTTCCCAAGTTGTAGAAGTAAATCAACATAAAAAAGAACATGTGTTCTGGTTGACAGGTAGTCACTAAATTGTTATTAGTGTTGCAAGATTTATCATCCATGATAAAAAATGTGTCCAGCTTAATATTTTCCATAAGCTGTTCTAGCAAATTTGATTTGGAGAGAGTCAATAAATCTCTAATTTCCTTCAAATAATTTTTACTTGTTTCCATCCTAAGGTAGTCGTTTAGGGAGCCCTCCCTCTTATCTTGTTTGCCATATTTCGAATGCATTTTGAGGGAGTCTTTAAATATTCTCTGTAGTTGCATCATCATTCTATCCTTAATGATAGGAGTTAATACTTCAACGCGCTCTTTCCGCTCATTTTTACCCATCAGTTATCTGAAGTATCAGCTTTTGATGTATTTCTGATTGCGTAATAAAGCCATCCAATGCTGGAATATCGCTAAATATAAATTAAATGTCATTAAGTTAAGTTTTGATACGATCATATATAAATTCCCATGACAATATAACATTTATTACCACTCAATATCCTCCATTTGTTGAACTTGGCCTTCTTCATTCATATATGTGAGTGTAGGCTTGATCTGTGTGGGCTGAATGTCTGTTATTATATAATTAAAAAACTAAGTTTAGTGTCCATCAGGTAGTTAAATTTAACTTAATTACCCATGTTAATAAAACAAATAGGTCTCGACGAAATTTTCGATTGCGTAGTTTTCAACTTTGTAGATATTATAACCGGGTCCCTAAACATTGTAAATTCTTTCATTCGTTTTTCAACGAGACCTGCGACTTCATCCTGTGTAAAGTATGTGGCTAAATTGAAACTTAAGGTGTTTCCATTCGTAATCAATTTGTAGCAACTGCGTCGGCCTTCATTATAAAGTTTTGACCACTTTACAATTAATTCGAGTAGCACCTGACAATGGCGATTTTCTTTTACTCGATCGGAGTAAAATATTATCATAGATCTTGCTTTTGCACAACCCATGCCTTGCAGCAAAATATCCATTTGATTCAGAAATTCCTTTTTGGTCGAGTCAGGCAAGCTTCCAAATATATCTTCCAGAGTTATCGATTCAATAACATCGATTTCAGTTTTCTTCAAATTGTATCCTCCGTGATATAAAATTGGAAGCTCTTGAAACGGATGGTACGATAAAAAGTATTGAAAATACCACAAATCTAAGATCTACGAAAAAAGGGGAAAAAAATCAACAAAAACAGTTTCAAAGTTTTCTCTAACGACACGAACACATATTAAGTTACCTCATCTTGAAATAAAATTTTTTCCGTAGTTTCAATTACTCCTTGTAATAATCTGACTTTCTGTGAGAGTATGTCAATAATTTCTGGTGGCAAGATAATGTTATAATGCTTTTTCAAGTATGAATCTAGTAACAGTGATATCCCATCCAATATAGATGGTATGGTAAATTGAGCTTGTTTCAGTATTTGTGGGACATAGTCACTGTCGGCCGCTTTTAAAGAAGGATATTGAGCTGAGACTAGATCTAGCTTTACATGCATTCCGTTCTGAAAATCCAATGTACATATAATGTACTGCGTGCCATGTTGTATTTCTATCTCGCTATTTGGAAAAATGCGTAATTGCATGAATCGAAAAGTCGATTCCAGCTCCGTAAAAAAAACGATTCTTCCCTGATCATCGCTTTCATAAATAAGGTCTGCCATTAGGAAGAGAGGTCGTATCAATGCCTCTCTTATTTCATAATCCCAATTTATAGGTAGAGTAAATGCATAAAAAAAATCCATGTTTGAACATCCCGACTTTTCCTTCCAATGATCAACATGTTGTTGTAACATATACGCCGCTTCTTGGAGAGCAATATTGTCATACGCCCCGTATTTATAAGTCTCGTGTTGCGATCTGGAATAAATGTTATTCAGCTCGCTGAAAGTGTTGCGTACATAAAAAAATTGGCTTTGAAGTTTTTCGGTTTCCCTAATCGCCTGATCAGCTAAATCTCCTCGGGCAATAATGGTTTTGGTGGTAGTGTCATATAAAAACGAAGGGATCGCGGTTTTTACTTCTCTTTTTTTTAAAAAAAAAAAAATATTAAAAGAAAATATCGTTTTGTTTAGGTATTAGCGAACCTCGTATCATTTTCTGAATCAAAGTGGTTATCATTGAAGAGTTTTTGAGACGTGATACTGTCGTAATCAAAAGCTATATTATAGTAAGTATCAATGTAGAATAACCGTGTGCCACTCACTAAAGCTAATGCAGGATTTATGTCGTGAATAATCGTATAAATGCTCCATTCCTTTATGGTAAAAAAGCGCAAATGGTCACAGAACCACCGTGAAACTATACAAGGCAGACTGAGTTTTATTTATTCCAAGTAAGAATTTGTGTAAGGTTGTTCATGTGAGAGAGTTTAGGGTCGTGATAAAGAGTAGCTGAAGGCCAATGTTGAATGCTGTAAAAAAAAAGCGGTGTAACGTTTAGTAAAAAGTTGAACCCCCGGAAGTCTCTAAAATACGCAGATTGCTGAAATATAGGACGAAGGGATGGTATACACCCAACCCTCGTATTGGAGGGTCGTCAATTATTTCTTACCCCTAAATAAATAAAAAAAGATTGAACATTTGCTAGTTTGAAAAATCTGGAGAAAAAGGGCACTGTATACTTTTTACTATTATTTATCTGAAAATAAAGCGTGGCTCGGAGAGCTTCTACCACTTCATCCTTTGCTTCGGCAAACTGCGTATCGTTGACTGTTAAAATGTGCTTGTCAGGGACACCAATCAAGGTGGAGGTTATGCGGGCGGAGATTAAACATACATCAAGTCAAAAGCCCGTAGCCACCTTGTTCGATTGTCATAAGCAGTCGCAAGATTGTAACTTTTTATTTATTCGTACATGTAGCCACTTCCGTCTTTATAAAGTGAAACACTTGGAAAAGTCATAGTTGTTTTGACAAGCTGAAATCCAATAGTTAAAGATTTCTTAATTGTGTCCAAGCTTGCATCCAGGTTATGGATGATGTCAGAGTTTAGAATCGTAATGGAGTATAGTTATCCACTAATATGATGAATATTTTCTTTTATCGGTCGATCAGACTGTAAATATCAGTGAATCTACTATTAACAGCTGTGATTAGACTCTAAATGATCGCTCATCACGAAACGTTCTACATAATTAAGATCGTATCCCATACCACCGACGAAGCAGACATAACCAAGTTTAGATCAGATAATTGGTATCTGCACTGATTCTGGTATACTTCTGGGAGAAAATCTCATATTATGTGTAGTTTAATAGTCGTTTTTCATCACCAAATGCTTAGAAAAGATCAATCCAAAAAGGTCTTTTCAAATTGGTGGACATATTTACGGCTAACCCTGTTTTTTTTGTTGCATTTGTGGGCGAAATCAGTTGATAAAAATATAATTACTTCTATGAACCCGCGCTCATAATGACCTATGGCTAATTTCATTCGTATTTTCACGGCCAGGGAAGTAATTCTTTGTATTTCTGCCGCAGAGCTTCGTTGATGAATGCATGGGCATGCGTATACGTTTTTAGGGAAGCCAATGGTCGGGGCTTATCCTGATAGACAATGGTGATGGGAGATGACAGAGACTTTATTATAGCAGCGGAGATTTCCGACTGATTTTGTGGAAGTCCTGGTGACAGCAAGGGGAATGAGAGCACATCATTGCTTGTTGTTATAAAAATTGCATTTTCTTCACCATCTTCAGTGGCGAAGGAAACCTTTCCTTTTCCTGAGGAATATTGCTTGGTTAAAGACTTAATTTTTTTTAGCTAACCTTTTCATAATATTCATTGCTTTCCTGTAAAAAGATATCGTTATGCATCAATACAAAAAAAAAAAAAAAAAAAAAATGAAAATGAAAAATGAGAAGGGAAGAAAAAAGTGTTTTATTTATAGAATGATAAAATATGAGCTAGCTTATGTCAGGATAATATAATTGTTTACTTAATCAGCCATGTTGTTCGAGACTTTATTTATAATAGAAATATCTGTAAAAAGCCCCACGTATATAATCTGGACCGCGAATGAAATTCTTTTAAAACTCGTTTTTTAAAAAATACTATCATTTAAACATCGAATGCTACACTTTTTCTCTGTTTATGACTGTACCTATAACGTATTTTAAAGGGGTACGGCCATCAGCAACAACTAAAAAAAAACCTCCACCCAAGACCAACGCTGCGAAAAAAAAAAATGGTTTAATCTTGGTGGCACGTTAAAGCTGTACATATTTCTTACAGTCTGTGCTACAAGCGATACCTGTCATTTTCGTGACTTCAGACACTACTGCCTTCTTTATGGAAACCGGTTATTAAAGCATATTATATACTTTATTTAGATCACCTGAAATTTTTTATCTTCATTGGGTCGTACGTACTATTTTCTCTATCTGCCTACTCATTATCAGCCTTGTTATCCTAATTGGCAATATTAATGACGGTATTTTCAGCATGACCATAATTTTCCATCACATTTATCCACTTCTTCAATAGAGGTAGAGTGTCTATCTACAATTTTGTCTTGCTGATTTAGAATGTGCGAGATGAATTGCATTGTCTAATTGGTTTTAAAGTAGCAAAGTCAAGCCAAAGATCTCAACAGGGTTTTGTATCACTTCAGCGTTACACCAGGTTTTTTTAAGCTTGCCTCTTCTTTATTATAATTTTCAATCTCTGGCTGGTAGATTATAAAAGGGGGCCTAATCAAGGCTAATAGACGTACATACATGACAATCATCTGGATGAAGATGGTGTTTTATTTATAAGTGAAAGAACACATGAAAACTAATCCTAATTTATTGTAGCTGTTTCCTTGTTGTAAAGTCGAATAAAAGCTTCTTTTCCATTACAAATTTCCCTTCCTTATACTTGTTTTCTTCATTGTATGCCTTGATCTATAATTAAAAAAAATAAACAGATTAGAACAACAAAACGCAAGATAAGCATAATGAATTCGAAGACCAACGTAAACCCAGCCAAGGACAGTTGAACATTGTATGCAAGAGATATCCTTTACTTTGTGTAATCCCGTCAACATTTCCCTATCTTCAGCTTCATCAAATTTTAAATTTACTCTGTTTTATTCATTTAGTTGAACTTATCATTTTTCATTGTTGTATCTGTATATTTACACTGTATCGAATAAAAATGCTGTTCCATGTTGTCCGTGAAAATTCTATTAAAAAAAAAGTGAACATCATACAACCCAACATCTCCTTTTCTTTTTTTATATGCTTTTACCCTGGATACAATTGCTTCTGCGGTTGATAAATGTGCTTTACATTTGAAGCATCCATACACTGGTGATTCGCTTTCAATATAAGTGCGATATGTAAGGCCCATCTTTTTTTTTTTTTTTTTTTTAATTTTGTTATTTTTTTATTAACAGCCTCACAGACCCGACTGGGTGTTTTTCTTTGTTGGATTTTTATTTATCTTTTTTTCAAAAGAAAAAAAAAAAAAAAAAAAAGGAAGGGGGAAAAAGGGTTTTTATTTATTTTTTCTTTTTCTGCTGTGTGTGAAATTGTCACATTGGGTCATATGATAAATAGTGTATGGTTCAGTGTTTCGCATTTTAAAAATACAAAAATCAGGGACATTGCAAAAGAGTAGTTTAGCTGTAAAATAAAAACCTCTGCTTCTCCTTTTTTGGACAAAGGTTTGCAATTTTTAGAATCAAATCTAATCTATCTGCATCATTGACTTACTTTACCAGTTAACAATCTTCCGGGCAGGATCATGGTCGTTTCAGAAAGCATAAAATAGAAGTGTATAATTAACAAACATCATCATTCGGAAAGAGCGTTTGAACACTTGCAAACCCGGATAGATGGCTATTTGTGACTGTAAATATTTTTCCTGCTAATTCTTTGTTCCGCACATGTTAAATAGATCATGAGAAGGTGTCAAAGGTGCGGAATACGCTTAGCAAGCGAGAAGTTAAAGCAATCGAAAATATTTTGACTATCCCCATCAAAAAACTCAATGGGCTGTGTCTGCCTTCTTCCTATCTGTCCTCTTTGTAAGGGTAAGTCACTAAATCATGCACTGATTTCTTTGTTATTCGCTATTACCTCAAGTGACATCCACTATGAGCATATGAGAGCTTTTTTTCAATTAATTAACAGATGGAGCACAGTTTTCTTGTATCATTTAGAGATAAATTCGGTAATTTTATCATCCCACCAATGCCCTTTCTAATTTGCTTCTTTTAAGACGCTCTCCTCAGCACCCGAACCAGCAATCTTTCTTCTCTTTTGGTTCGAAGGCATGCTATAGTACAAAATATATTGTCACATGAAAATGACCTCAAAGAAGTCAATTTGATAAAAATAAAACCCATAATCAAATCTGATGAAGGTATGCTTTTGGAATGACAGGAGGAGAAACCAATATAATTCAGGCTTTCATCGACCAGTCCTTAGAGTACTTGCAAGTGGGGCGTATGACTTTTGAAATCTTGTTGCAAGTTGGCTGTCAGACTGCTGTCTGTTGATAACTGAGGAAGGTTTCATCTTTCTAAAAGATAGTAAGTCATGATCGTGCTATGTATTGTTCTCATTTGTATGATAAAGTATTAATGTATTGTATTATACCATTTGCCCTGGTCTCCAGGTATTCACAAATTTTAAAGACATTGCAAGTTGATATTGCATGCTGTGAAAGATCGGCTTCGTATTGCTTTACTTTGTGGTTCGTCATAGCTTATGAAATATCTTCGATTTTGTTTCCTTAGGACTAAATGGTGGTGATTGTCATATAACAAGGTACATTAGTTTTTCTAATTGATAGCACACGAATGCTTTTTTACTTATCGCAATTAGTTCTCTGAGCTCTTTTTATTTTGGGCTCTTTGGAAAAGTGGATTTGCTTTGTTCCACGAGTGCTATAATTAATTTCTTTTAAGCATATTATTGAAGGTCAAAGGATTCATGTGTTTGCGATCCACTAACAAAAATAAATTCTGTCAACGCAAAAGTGTGCGTGACAATTGTATTGGTAGTGGACACAAGACTATTAAGTCTTGGTATGTATGTCGATCTCCAATGAAAGCCAGAAGCAGAGACTTTGATCAGTATTATTCTTAAAAAATTCACTTTGATGCGTAAGAATTTATAAAATATTTAACAAAGAGGTAAAGAGATGATTAAGAGCATTTTTAAGAGTGACATCAGTGGTTCTATCAGAGTTGATAACAGATATGTGTGCATCCAATCTTGTATACTTGATATTACTTAACTTTAAAGCGACCAGAAACCAATATATTATTCTTTAAAGGTGTATGCCTAGTTTAGTATATTGAGAGTCTGTATTCTATTTTGCCATTGTATGAAAAAAAAAAAGGTATGTGTCTGAATTTAAAGTGATACTACTGTATGCGAAATCAACCTGTGAGTGTAACCTACAATTACAATATGATTGGGCTAAATTATTGCTTGACATGAAATTATATTGCCTGTTTTTTTACAGCTCCTTTAATTTTGGAGAATCAAAACATAGAGAGACCTTAAAAATAAAAAATGATTATATAAAAAAGACATAGTATGTAAATATATATACATGTGTATAAAAAGAAAAGATGATTTCAGATTTAATAGAGCGATGAATGAAAAAGGGTTTTTTTTTTATTAGTGAGGAGACGGACTGAGAAAAAGAGATATAGTTTTTGTGTAACAACATAACATTCGGGATGATTACCGACTGGGCCTATTATATATACAGAAGGGTTGTCTTTTTTGATTGACAATATATGTACACTATACTCGTAAAATATGTATACTCTATCCCCGCCGAATAAAAATAACGCCCCTGCTTTCTCATATTATAACTTAATGATATGTATTTTTAGGACAAGACCCATCTTTTTTTTCTTCTTCTTCTTCTCCTTTTCCAACTTATATATACTTTAATATTTAAATATTATTTACCTCTTCTATTTTTTTTTTTTTTTTTTCATTTTCTTTCGTTAAACTTTTTTTTTTTATTATTTATTTATTTTTGCACATATTCTCGAGATACATAAGACATTCAACAAACTAGTTTTGTCATTAGAAGAAAAGACATGACTACTTCAGGTACAAGATCTCCTTCCTCGGCTCTTAGTACTTCCACCACCATAGACACAACTTCTAAAACAACGTAAAATATTTTATTTTTTTAAAAAAAGAGAAAGAGAGGATATAACACATATTTGTATAAAAGAGATATTACGCAATTTCTTTTTTATATGTGGTTTTTCGAGTATTTTCTAATTTATGCATCTACGCGATTTTTTTTTTATTCTAGTGATCCCGTAACCGAGAATAATTCATTATTATGGAAGAAAAAGACAACAACGCAACCCTTTTTATTTGAAGGAGGGGAGGAATATGACAGTGATACTAGCTCAACGCAACATCATAATATATTACGTCGACCTCGTGCAGAAACCATGCCAACGCAATCAACGTCATTTCCTTATAACACCAATCACAATTTGTTAGTCAGCACCGAAGATAATAAGAATATGCCACTTATGATCAACCCAAATCATCATCAGCAGCAGCATCATGGAGCGTTTGGATCTGGTATATTTGATAACGATAACAATAACAACAATTTACCTCCTCAACAACGTCATCATCATCACCATTGGATTGGTGATATCTTGACAAGTCCAACCACACCTACCACAGATCAATTATTAAAAGGAGATGATAATAATACAATCGCAAGTACGTTTGCTTCATTAGGTCTAAACGACGATAATACTCCTACGAGTACTTCTTCATCTCGCTCTTCTTTTCACCCTCATCCTCAGCGACAAGTCATTCATGCCAGCCACTCTTACTCTTCCCTTCAGACACTTTGTGAAGACCAACAAAATGACTGGAATATGAATGCAGGTGAATCTATTTCTTCTTCTTCCTATTATAGGGGGGAAGACCTTCGTTCCTCGGTTGCAAACCTTAGACTTCAGCAACAACAGAGTAGACCTCGTGCTCTCAGTGCAGTTGAACAAGAACAGCAACAGCAACAACAGCAGCAACGATCGATTTGGTATTCGGATACGAGACAATTCAATCGACCTTTTTTGCGTAGCTCCAATAGTAGTGCTGATTTATTAGAGATGATTGCGAGACAACGAAAGGCTACAGCTACAGCAACTAACTCTCCTACGATTCATAATGAAGATATGCAATCCATCGATGGCAGTGGTGTATGGACAGGGGTAAGATGATTTTTATTTATTTTTTGATGGGAGAGCTTGTGTATAAATATATAAAAGTGTATATATATATATATATATACACACACACACACACACGCTTTTGGCTCCCCTTTTGAAATGGCCCCTTTTTTCTTTTTCTTTTTTTTTTAATTATAGCTTCTAAACTTTATTTGTATTTATAGGATGCAGGAAGTTTATCCTCATCGTCGTATGAACATTTGTTAGATAGCATGGAGACGGAAAGTGTGATGTCAACAACGGCAAGAGATAACCAGATTCCGTCGCGATCATTGTGGATAGGTCAACTTGATTTGAACGTGTATGGAGCCAACGAACTCAACATGATTTTTTCTAAATTTGGTGTGATTGAAAGTATTCGAATCTTGCCAGACCGCGAATGTGCCTTTATTAACTTTTCGACGACGGAAGAATCCTTGCGAGCCAAAGACACCTTGGTGAACAAGATGTCAAGTCGATTATCCAATCATCATCTTGTCAAAGTAGGTTTTGGTAAATCCGATACGACTGTCAATGTCATGCCATTACCCGTTCATGCAACCAGTACCACAACAAATGAAAATGTTCAAGGGCCAACAAGAGCTTTGTGTATGTTTACTTTTTTGTTTATTTATTTACCATCTATTTAAAATAAGCTTGCTCAATATGATATAATTTTTTTTTAGGGGTTGGAAATATTCCAACAAATACAAGCCAACAAGCATTAGGCAATATATTTTCTTCATTTGGTATGATTGAATCTATTCGGGTATTATCCCACAAGAATTGTGGGTTCATTAATTTCTACACGCAAGAAGAAGCCATGCGAGCCAAGCGAGCTTGTCAGAATCGAGAAATCATGGGTCCAGGTACTGGTACAGTAAGAATTGGATTTGCAAAAGTTCCGCCTGCAGTTAAATTACCTGATGGCTCATCCTTGGATGTCACACAACAACAACAACAACAACAACAACAAACGTCTGATTCAGAGAGTTCTAAATTCAGTGTCAACACACCAATTCCAAGCAACTTTGCAATGGAAGACCAGCATATGATGATGTATATGATGGAAGTCATGTCCACTTCAAACCCTTCCATGTTCTCTGCTGTTGTAACGGAGCGTAAATTAATCATGCAAGATTTTGGACAAGATGATTCGGATGGTCCGATATTTGACGGTAATTATTTTCCACCCTTTTTGCCCCCTTTTCTTTTCAAACCCCTTGCTCCTCTCGCCCTCCCGCACCTCTCTATTTTGTGATACTAAAATTGCCCTTGCCCCCTTAAAAAGTGCTTCATTTACCTACAAGTTATTATCATAGTATTCCTGCGGCACCGGAATTAGGTCAGTCGAGAAAAGTAGATATTTCACGTTTAAGAGACATACGAAAGCGATTGGATACAGGTCATATCACCGTCAAGGAATTAGAAGTCATTGCTGTTGAATGTGTTGATGAGCTTGTTGAGCTTTGCAGCGGTAAATGATATATAGTATATACAACACACACATACTAAATAATGCATGAATATAGATTATATTGGGAATACGGTCATCCAAAGATTGTTTGAAAGATGCTCGGAAATGACGAAATCCATCATGCTTGAAGCCGTAGCACCTTATTTGGCCTCCATTGGTGTTCACAAGAATGGCACATGGGCCGCACAAAAGATTATTGACACCGCTAAACTACCTGCACAGATCGCGATTGTATGTGGTCATATCAAACCTTACGTGCCTTCCCTTTTATTAGATCAATTTGGCAATTATGTGGTGCAATGTTGTCTAGGTCTAGGTCCTAACCGGAACCAATTTATCTTTGACGCCATTGTCGATTCATGCTGGGAGATTGCACAAGGCCGTTTTGGCGCACGAGCAGTGAGAGCGACCCTGGAAAGTCCTCATGTGACCAAAAGACAACAGGTAAAAAAAAAAAAAAAAAAAAAAAAAAAAAAAAAAAAAAACTCTTATTAAAATATGTGTATACTAAACTCACACGATGTTGTTGCTGTTGTAAAATAGAAATATGTAGCTGCTTCGCTTGTGCAACATGCCTTGCTTTTGGCCACCAACGCAAACGGAGCACTTTTATTGATTTGGCTTCTCGATACGTCTGGTATTCCAGGTCGTTACCGCGTTTTGGCGCCTCGTTTATTGCCTCATTTGGCGCGTCTTTGTACACACAAACTGGCTTCATTGACCGTACTCAAGTTGATCAACCAACGTCAAGAACCCGATGCCAGATCGTCTATTTTGGAAGCACTCTTCTTTAGTCCCACCACCACAGTAGTGGATGAAATCCTGCATGACCAGGTACACGGTGTGAGTCTCGTACAAAAGATTTTGTCAAGTTCTTACATTGATTTGCGCGAAAGACAGCGTATTGCTGAACGCGTAAAACAGTTATTGTGCAAGCTCAAGTTACAGCATGTGCAAGGTTATAAACGGTTGATGGAGGAGATTAATATGGTGATGGTAGATTCTGCTCCTGGAGCCAGTTTGGGTGTACCGCCACCCAACCACCAGTTTTCGATCAGCCCTAGTTTAGCAGCTGCTTTGCATGCCAAATACATGACGGAAGAAGGGGATGAACAACAAGCTGCTGCCATGATGGCTAACTTTTATGCTGCTGCTGCCGCTGCTACCACTACCACTACCCAATTAGAAAAGTAAGCACCCTCTACTTCTTTCAACATATATATATATATATGATACCCAAATACCCCAGTTACACTCCCTTTTCCTTTGCTAGTTATTTTTTGTTCTTTCGTTATATATCATAATCCCTACACACACACCACTTTTTTTATAGAGAGAGAAAAAAAGATATTTTTCACGTACATTATACAAGTTATTTTTTTTGCTTACACACATACACACATACACACACACCCTTCCTTTTTCATATATGAATAACCCCCACTCACAGACACAAATCATGATTAAAAAAAAGTTTTCTTTTCACAAAATGACAAAAAGAGATTGAAATAAAAAAGGGACTTTAATGCATTTATGTTTCGTTGTATACAAATGAAGAGGGGGTGAAGGGGGTTTGGTGGTTTTATGTTTAGTTTTCATCGGTGATATCATTATCAGAAGAATCGGATAATCGAATCCGTTTATGATCATTTGATTTTCGTGATAGACTCACGGGTATCAGCAAGGATTTCAAGTACTTGTTCTAAACAAAAAAAGTAAGAAAAAAGCAGAGAGATAGAAATAGAGAGAGATAGGAAACGTTACCTCTTTTTCGAGCTCATTGAGCTTTTGTTCATCCGTTTCTTTTTCTTGTCTGAATCGGGTCATCAGGTGTTCTAATTGGCCAACACGGTCAAACAAGTTATCGTCATGAGCGGAGGCGGCGGCGGCGGCGTTGGGAGGCGGGCTTTGGGTGATGGAACGAGAGGTTGGATAGTCTAGTTGCTTTGATAATATCGGATGGTCAGGATCCACACGTCTTAATGCATTCTCAAATTCTTTGGATCGTTGTTCTAATTCATTACATTTATCTAATAATTCACGCTCTCGTTGTTTGCGACGATCACGAAACCTTGCAGAAGCTCCTGCATTACGTCTCCTTTTCTCCGCCAACACTTCCTCTGAGGAAAGGCCTCGTCCATCTTGGCTGTCCGATCCTCGTCTCTCTTGCGACTTTTCTTTTTGTTGCTGTTGCTGGAATTGGTTAAATAATGCCCACAGTGTACTCTGATCTGGCGCTGCTGCTTGTTGTTGTGGTGCCTGTGCTTGTGCTGCTGAAGAAGGTGTAGAGGCGGGCTTAGAACGGTAATAATTTTGAGGAGGTGATAATAGTTCGGGTCGTTCTTTATAATAGTCATTATTAACTGGTTTGGGAAGGATGGGTAAAGAGGTGTGTTTATCATAACCAGAGGTAGGTGGTGACGCTGGCATCAGTGAAGAAGATGGCTGTGACCTTGATGTGAACATGGAAATAGGTGGCAATGAAGGAGGTGAATGGTCTGTTGTAGACATGATGTATTTAAATATGAGAAAGAAAAATGAAAGAGAGAGGAGAAATTAAAAAAAAAAAATTATTCTTATTTTTGTGCCTGGAAATGTTTACATTGCGCCATTCGATGGCGACATTTTGATTTACAATTGCGATAACCAAATATTTGAAGCCAAAATAGGAAATTCCAGCCTGTCTTAAATCGTCAGTGTAACGCTATATCGTGTGAAAGAAACGGTTCCCACCCCACCCCCCAATTGCTGTATTTATATGATGCGACATTTTCTTTATATTTCGAACAAACGGTTGCATGGATACAATGAATTATAGCGCAATAGCAGTGGTCAATGACATAATTTAATTTATAAACACATTCTTTCCGGACCACAAGGTGTCAAAAAGCGTAAAAATTTTCTGCTTCTGGAAAGAATGGCATAATAATTTCCAATGTGTGCGTCATTTCTCTTGTTTCACAACAGGAATGATTATTAGCATGTATGCACACACCATTTGTTTTAAGTTACGCATTACAATGGCCAGTGAATGTGGGCGGGGGTATTTATTCTATGTACAAAACGATATGTCTCTTTTTAAACGATATATTGAAGTCCTTTTTCAAGGCAAGTGATTACCAGCTCCTGTCTTAATTCAACTACGACACACACACAAAAATAATAGTGTGAGTACAATAACAAACAAAAAAGACACACTTCCCGTAGTTTTTACCTAATCTGTCCAAGGTTCTTTTTGGACCAATAACAAGATTTGTAGTGTGAATATCGGGATGAGCTTGTAAATATTGATTTTTAGCTCGTGTCGCTGCTAATTGGACAGCTTCATCGTCAGGTGCAGTTTTATATAAATCACACTTGTTACAGCTCGAGCAATTTGATCCCGGTCTGGCTCTAAAATGCTGACAAAAATGATTGTAGGATTCTAAATGAACCGTTGTGAGTACCCCCACCTCTTGTCTTGCGTCATTTCATAATATTACCTTCACCAATATCCTTTCGACAAATATAGCACATGGCGTATCCACACCTGCAGACAATCTTGTTGCATCCATCTGACTTTTGAAACGAAAGGGAACAGTTTGGGCACTAAAAAAAGATTGGAAATTAGTCATGATGAAAAAAACTAGGTTCCTTATCTTTTTGTTTTTACGGTTCGTTTGACGGCATCCGCCATGGCCTTTTCAACATAGAGACGAAGACCGTCTGTTTCTTGTTCCCAACAGGTATGAAGACCACGCACAGGTCGATGGCATTCTAAACAAGTGACAGTATTGCAGCCATCCCTTTTACAGTTAAACACACTACTTCTTCTGGATTTGGAAACCCGTTGATAAGCGATTTCTAAGTCTGCCTTCATATCCCACTGAACGATGCATAGATATTGAAGAGGGAATAAAATGAGAATTAAAACAACCCAACTATGAATATAATAATATAAAACTATCGCATCAACTACCATGATCCATTTTGTCAGTGATCGAATCCACTTGCTAGCGTAAATCAAGGTAGAGGCCAATGGTTTCGTGCTTTCATCCACTTCAAAATAGGAACATGCACAGCATTGAATACGGTCATGCTCACTGATACCACCTTCCAATAACGAGTTTTCATACGCCATCCAGATATCATCCGTCAAAATTCGCTTCAGTGTAGTGGTGGCAAACACACCTTTACACTCATCATTCGAAGAAGAGATGCAGCCAATAGAGGGCTGACCGCGTAATTCCCCTTGTCCAAAAAGACCTTCGGATATATAGTGTACTAGACATCCGTGACAAAAAGCATGCTCTCCTTCCGAGCAAAATGACAATTCTTCAAAAGTGTAATCACTGTAACAGCAGAGACAGGTCATCAACTGTCCATGATGTGTGTATTCCCTTGTGTTCATCTTGTATGCATAATCTTGATCTATCGCTATTTGTTTGTCAATATCATGTTGACGTAATTCTTTCAATTGTTCCAGCAAGTGATAATCTGTCACTGCTTGATCGACATGCACAGAGGATGAGGCTGACCAATGACTAAAGAAATTACGAAGGGTCTTCCAAAACCCTCCTGATCCCATTTCTTTTAACTGTTCAAAGCATTTCAAGTAATCCCAATTGTTCTCTGCTAATACTGCTCGAATAGATGATTTCCAGACCTTGATATATATGAGAAAAAGGGGAGCAAAATATATTTACATATATAAAAAAAAAGTGGTGTAGCTAACCTGAGGATAATCGAGTGTTAATTGCGCTTGTGCTTGTTTCTTGTATTTTTCGCTACGGATCCCTTCAGATGGATCCATTTTACCGTAATCCAGTCTCTCGGGCCATTTGGCCGTGCAAGTTAGAACCTCGACCACTTGCTCAATATGAGCATAACTGAAATTAAGCACCAGCTCTCGTAAATAGCTAATGTCACAACTGGGGAAAAGGTCAAGGGCAAGTATACGTAAACTGGCATTCAATCGGTTGTCATGAGGTTGTGAAGGAATCGGTAACTGTGGGTATTGACCTCCCATGTCCACAAGAATTTTTTCTGCTATTCTTTCAACTGCATTCTCATTGTAATATTCAAGACAAGCTTTAAAGTATTCGGAATCTTTATAGAACAGAGAATTTAGAAGTTTGATTTTATTGTGTGTACTCATCTTATTTTGGTTACCTCCTTTTGGGAACAATGCAAGCAATTGTTGAACATGTTGTTCCTCAATAGCTTTGACAATGGCCAATTTTTTCTTCATTAGGTGTGTAAAGAAAAAAGATTTTTTTGTGCCGTGTGTAAATATTAGAAAAAAAAAGTGCCGTGCTTTAGGTTGTAGTTCACCCTAAATTGCTTATGTAATGATTTGAAGTGTGTGCTGCTATCATCCGCTCATTTGATTGGTTCAATGGCAAGTCATAATGGAAGTCCATGCTGCTTATGCAACAAATGGTTGAACAAATCAGAGGTGACCTGTATTTCAACTTTAAAAGGACCCTTTTTTTTCATTATTTTTCCCTTTTTTTTTTCTGGGTTACACTTTCTAATTTTAAAATAAATAGAAACATGCCACCCAATACTGTTGTTGCCACTACTACTGGTTCTTTAAGCGAACCTGCTACCAAGTATAATGAAGATGATGTGTTTACATGGGAGCAAGTATACCACTACGTTTGTAAAGTATAACCTATTTCATCGATTGTGAATGGTTTTTATTGACATTGTTACAAATAGCTACCAACCAGATAAAGAACATTCACCGCAATAAACAAGTACAAACGGTGTATGATGCATGGATGAAGGATACTCTGGCCAAGTATGGTACGATTGAAAAATACTTGTTGACTACCAAGCTCAAGTTTGAAGCAATGACGGACCCAAACTGTCCACCTGTGATTATTCTCCCCAACGATTTCCCTTACTCTGTTACCCCAGGTATCCATCATATTCTCTTATGGTCCCAAATACCCTTGACTCGTCTCTATATCCAACACATCCTGGACACAAAGTATGCTGAATTTGAATGCGTCTATTTTGTGAATCCACCCGAGATTCAAAGTGTACGAAAATTACCTCATGTCCATGTCTTTATGAGACGCCGTTTTTAATTAAAAAAAAGAAAAAATTCTTTGCCATGTTATCGCAGGGTTTTTTTAAAACTCAATTAAGCTTTTTTTTTTTTTTTGTCTTTTGTCATTGACCCTGCATTGTAACAATGGGGTTCAGGAACTTTTATTTGCCAAAGATTTTTCTATTCCGCAGTAAAAAATAAATAAAAAAAAATCTCTTCATCTTTTTATAATGTACTTGGTAATTAAACTTTATTTTGGTCCCCAAACATCTTGCATCTTTTTATATGTATCCTTTGTGTAAATTAATTATCTTGGCTACAAGAAATTTATAAACAATGGGTTATCACCCCTCGTGTGAAAAGCTTTCCCCTTTCTCTTCCGAAGGTTTGAACTCTCTTGGCACGCCTAGACTAGCTACGGTAACACGCAGATCAGTGACCCACTCAAAATGACGTATAGGATATTAACATAATCCATTTTGCTTCCACGGGTTACACAATGGCTGAAGAAAAAGCATCAAAGAGGTTATCTGCAATAGGCCCATATTCATGGTAAATCCCGGGCTGGAAAACAAATTACCCTTAACCAGAATAACAGGTATGCTGAGCTACATTAAAGGTCACAAGTTCTCTTTTTTTTTTTTTTTTTGGGATCCATCACACCTGTACCAATGAGAAATCAAGGCCAAGCGAGGCATTGGAGGGGCCCATCGAATGAATTCAACCGATCATTATTTTTTTAAGGAGTGTGGGTCAACGTGAGTCATAAAAAGTTGTAGACATGAATTTTTGGCATGGACAATGCGTTTTTATCGACATACCCAAAACCTTAAATGGGCAGTTCACATTGACCCTTTTTAAAAAGAAAAATGAGAGGTTTTTTTATGTTTTTATTTATAAAAAGTGAAATAATGGAGATTGTGTTGGTATAATAATATAAATAAATGAAATAATAGAAAAAAAAAAAAAAAAAAAAAATAGAAAAAAACGGTAACTATGGTGATTTTGGTAAATCCGGAAATAAAGCCAAGGTATCATCATCAAATGACATGTCGTCAAATTGATCTTCAGTGAAAAGATGGATATCCATTTCTGGTGACTGAATTAGAAAGGGCTTCTCTTCGTCTTCTTGTGACATGCCCAGGTCAGAAGAGGTGCCTTCAAGCATTGATTTTAAATCTTGAAGTAAAATGATGTCGTTTTCGCTTATGCCATCGACAAAAGGTGGAGGTCTTCCTACAGGAGAAGAGGAGGATTGGTAATGTGAGTCTTGTACGGACTTGATTTGGGGTGGAGGTGATGGTGGAAGAAAGTCATATTTGCTTGTTTCTTCATGTAGGCTCCGCTGTTTGCCTTTTGTTTTCTTTTTCATCGAAAACAAGTCTCTTTTTTTTGCGTTTATGTCTTGTTTCTTCTAGGTGTTGCTTTTATAAATTTTGTGTCATGCCAAAAATAAAAAAGTGGAAAGTGGACTTATTGTTTTTCATTCAAGGCTAGATAGTAGGCTGTTGGATCCTTTAACTTCAGAAACTAGAGTACAACTCTTTTTTGTTCTGTTGAAAACAAGTGGAAATGAATTCAATTTTTTTTCTTTTTTTTTTTTTTTCTGAAAGGTCAAGTGAAGAAAGAAAGAAAAGTAAGAAGAAGAAAAGAAAAAAGTAAGAACACGTATTTCCACGTTAAATAACAAAATAATTGTTGCTGCGGTTTATTGAGGACGGCACTTTTTTTTTGACTGCTATACTGGAATCTTTATTTTTTTGTAATTTCCCCATTATTCTCTCAAGGGCAATGCCCATTTCATCCTAACAACTCAATACACTCTTCTAAAAAGTATAACTTTTTCTTTACGGTGTTGTTTTTATTAACATTTAAATCATTGAGTTAGTCATTAAGCAAGTGTCGTTGAGGTTAGAACCCAACTTCTTGAAAATGTAACACATATTTCAAAAGCGCAATGTTCTCTTAAAAGGAGTGAATTATATCGAACTGCGTTTTAAGAGGCCAAAAATAGAACCCCTTCCTTCCAATATAAGATAGATACTTCTCGAACGCGTATAAGATGTACGTGTACAACGTAACCATAGCCAAGAGGAAACATGGCATGATTAAGCTTCCAAGTAACACGAAACCATAGTTTTTCATTTTACGGTGTTTGAATTCATCTTTTTGGTGGATAGGGATAAGACCAACCTCTTAAAATTGAGTACGATGTGTTGATTCTATAATTACCATTGATCAGTTTACGACCACGTTTTTTTAAGGAGTTGGTTGTCTCACCCGACAGTAGTGACTTTTGGTGATATATGTACATTAGGCCATTCTAGTGAAATGAACCAACAGTTGAGGTACTCAACGTCATGCATATGCGATTAAGCTGTAAAATTGGCAAAGAAACATCGGCACTTAATGTCTATATTAAATAAGATAAATTGAAAGCTTTCTGTTTCCATAGTTTCTCCCTTCGCCAACTATGCTCATTTAAAAAAGTGTTATTCATTTCCCGGCAGAATGGAAATCTATGCTTCCTAGTCGATAAACACGGCCATAATTTTTTGCAGTACTTAATAACCCCATCAGACACAGCTATGTCTGAATCTTTCAGCTTGAAAACTTTTAATGGGGTGTTTGTAATGAAGCATCAAAACTCGCGTCAACGGATCTCTTGGGGACAGCCACGCTGCGCATAGTCCTAATGTCGGATTATGATACCTTAATTGGCACCAAGAGGACAATATAATTCAATTGTTTGGAACTAGATGCAAATTTCTCACACTTGAAATGCGTCAACTTGTCTGCGTGTTATATAGCTGACTTTCAACTTCTCGTTAGGACTTAACCCTAATATTTATGCGCAAGATTAAGATCAAACGAGATCAAGGGCAAAAGAGTAACGATGTAACTGTCAAAAGAGGTAAAAACTGTTTAAATACAGTTATCTGTACCTATTACATTATTTTTGATCATAGGTACATTCTTTTTTCTAGGTCTGAAGGACAGTCAAGAGGCAGATCTTTCGTTGTTACTAATTACAATATGGTTGTCGCTAAGAATAAATGGCTGTCTGTAAGAAAAATAATCGTTATTGTTTGTTGCGTTTATAAGATCATTAAATGAGAAGCAATTTTCTACCATTGTGCGAGATGAAGCATTTGTGAGATATAGGTACTGTCTATCGCGATTAAAAAAGACACCCACCGCAGATTTTTTCAGTGATGAGTAAAATTTCTAATTTTGAATATTTGTGTAAGCGAGGGTGAAAAAATCGCCCTATAAAGAATTATGGTGTAACAGTATTTAAAACACAAGTACCAAAACTGCATTACTGGCAGTGCAGTATTGGCAGGTAACCAGGTTCACCAGGCGTCTACCAGTTTTTACATCAGGCAAATGGGGACTACCCTAGCCAGGTAGGTAGCCATGCACCAATTGCGCCATTTTATAGGCTCAGAAACTAGATACAATGACAGGCGGCTTGATTGGCAGATAAAAAAGATACAGGCTTTGACTAGGCCGACAGACATTTGCAGAACCAAGCAGTACGTCTTGCATCCCATTAAGAATGCACACTAGTATTAGATTTCTAGACGGTCAAGCAGAGGGCTAATTTGGATATCCTGTTCAGAAATCAGGAGAGGTTAGTGGTCATACAAATTGATTGTATAATGCAAGTTACCTACAAAATGTTTCTGTTATCTTGTTTAAATACAGTAGATGAATTTCTATTAGAAAGTTTTAAGTTAGAGCGATTACATGTCAAAATATACCTTATGGTTTGCTTCGGTCAAGTGTCCAAATGAGAACGAGATTCTCTTTAGTAAAATTTTTGAATCAATATAAGAAGATGTATTGTTAATAAAGAATACAGACTACTTATATTTACCATTGTATCGCAGGTTATGGTCAATACGGGTGGAACGGCATCGGACTTTATAAATTGACATCTGTGTTAGTTTACAATTATGCCAGCAATCTTGTAATGTTGATTGGAAGCTATGTATATTATAATTTTTATGTTTCATAGCAGCAGTTGCTACAAGCGCCTGATAAATAAGTCCAATCATTATAGAAAAAACAAAGGAAAGTTATGGAAGAAAATAAAAATAAAAGTACCTTTAAACTAAAACTAGGTATAAATACATTGTTAATTTGCAGAAAGCAATTGATGCAGTCCTTCCAATCATACAAAACGAAGAGAAGATCATGTTCCAAAAAATGCTACTCGACCATCTCTCTCGCTCTGGGTCCATCACTCTTAACCAAGCAACCTTTTGCTACCAGCCTTTTGCCACCCTCCGTATGCTAATCACAATTTAACTTATGCTATTAAAAAGTTTATTTGTACATATCAATTACGTCCCTCGTATTTCTTGTTAATTAATAAAATAAATATATTTATTTCTTTTTTTTTTTTTTTTTTGTAGCAGCGGGAAAAAACCTCCCCCAAGTATGTCACACAATCTGAATGTTCAGCTGAAACTAGAGGTCTAACGATCATATAATGTATTATTATCGTTCATTTCGTCTAATCGTTTACCACCAACCTTTAAAAGACTCTCCAAAGTTCAATGGTACCAATTCTGATTCTTAACAATTCCTCTAAATGTGGTGTTTCGTCTTCGATAGTTCGCCATTTTTTCCTTCGCAAGTCACAACATCTACTACTCGTGCTTTAACTCGTCTTGATTCTAACTTGGAGTTTGATGAGTAGGTATTCCACTAACTTTCGTTTTATTTTTCTCTTTTATCCCTGTGAATACAACAGCCTCCTTCTTTCCTCATTATGACAATTACAGGACTTTAGATAAAAACCGGAACCCCGCTCTCACAAAAAAAAAAAAAAAAAAAAAAAAAAAGGTATAACTATCTTACTATTTAAAAAAATGTGCAATTGTAATGGTATATTGTTGTTAATTATTTTGATGATGTTTGTGGTATCAAACAATAAAGGTATCTAAACACGGCCCCTGGCAATAAGGGGCAGTATACTTCTCGACAATTCATTTCTTGTAGATACTTTAATTGTTTTGAAGATGTTATCCTCGGCTGAGAAAGGCTTCTTGGACTAAAATTCAACAAAGTAAATAGACATGATTATTTAAACATTGTGTAATCCTTACCGAGGCAAAGGTTGTGTAAAGGGATGCTGCTGGGTTCATAAACAGCTCGGCAGACCGAAGGAGATGTAGACCACAGTCGTGGTTATTAGTTTGTTGCGGAACCTAAACTCATGAAATTAGTATTTACATATGTCTGGTCAAAAACAAATTACTAACGTCGAGAATCTTCACAAGAACACGTTGAAGTTTACGATTGTGTTCTGCCTTGTACTTCTGTCGTAAAAAGGCCTTTACAATATCTACGGACTTGTATGACCTGTATGCCTTTCTTTGGAGGGAGTCCAGTACCATGACCACAGGCCTTATTATTAAAAAAGGTTAGAATCGATGTAATTATGTTATGGTGATAAATGCTTACGTTCGGGAGGTGTGGCGGGTTACGACTATTAAGTACCAGTGATTTCTAAAAAGAATTAAAAAAAAAATAAGCATCCAGAAACATGATTAACATAAAAGAACCTACTTATCGCAAACTGGAATTAGCCAGAATTTTCTGTCGCGAAGTTGTTCGTTTCTGAACCAGCCTGAGGTGGCTGCATAGAAATCTTTAGGAATACCATCGGATCTACATTTTCAGATAAATGAGTGGATTAATAAAATATTAAACAACAAGTTTAAATATCTACATACTCGGATATTGTACGAAGTTTGGCAAAAAATTGCGAATCGAAAACATGTACGTCATTTGTTTTCTTTGCAAGAGACAAAGCAACATCAATAACATTATCATTTAACCATCTCCTGGGCCGCAGGCTAATTAAATCACTGCTGTAGAAACAGATTCTGCCGTGTTGGAATAGTATGCTATATAGTCTCAGTTAGCATGTAATAACAGAAAGAAAGAAGATTTTCACCTACTTGCTGTCACTGTCCGTTACTTCCTTTTCTAAATCTTCATCGTCCGACGAAAGATCAATCACACTACTACTACTACTACTACCTGATTCATTGTCGCTACTAACACTTGACTCATTGTCGCTACTACCACTCGACTCACTGGCGCTACTACCACTTGACTCACTGGCGCTACTACCACTTGACTCATTGGCGCTACTACCACTTGACTCATTGGCGCTACTATCACTTGATCCGTTGGTTTTATCACCATTTGATCTACCACCAATGCCACTTGGTTCAATTGCAGCAACCGTAGGTTTCTCGTCAGTTGTAGATCTGTTGGACAATATGCCAAAGGAGTTGATATAACTAAGTGCTCTACTGATTACACCTTTTGTTGCTTCTTCTCGCAGCTTTTGCTTTTTAGGGACAATATCAACAGATTGATCAGGCGATTTTCTCTTTCCTTTTCGTGGAGGTGAATCGCCCATGTTAGAATCCTTCCAGAAACAAAATTATGCGGAGTTAGTTCCAGGTGTTTTATAATAGATCGTTCAAATAAACATACGGAATGAGACTTTGTCTTAAGTCGAGAGTTTTTCGTGGATCTTTTGTTTTTCATGGTATTTGAAGAAGAAAAAAAAAGGGCCAAAAAATATGACATACTGAGCTTAAATGTTCATTGTGTGGCAACAGTGAAATTTTAACTTTTGGCTGACAAGTCTGGGGAGTACTTCGATCACTTCCGATCACTTAATATAAATCTGATTGGTTAATTCAAACGACAAGGTATGCGCAAAATACGTACTGATCTGTGTATCATTTGGGTAAAAAAAACCTGCGGAGTATGTTACATTATTAAACAGATACTTGCTATAATTCACTATCAAGTCCTCTGAGAAAGTGCAATTTGAAAATGGGTGATACGAGCAATCGTATTTTATATCTGTATAATGGAGATTAAGCTCATTATTATAATTGACAATTAAATCAAGTCATCCTATGATAAATTAACTAGGTGCAAGATGGGCCCAGACCATATACGTTAACTGAATGATAAGTCTCAATACAGAGATGTTGTCGAATCATATTTTCTCCTTTTTGCTTTCGTAACCTAATCCACTAAGTATATTCCCTCGAGAGACCCTATGAAAAGATTAACCCCTCACGATGAGGGGAGCAGACAGCATTGTAGTATTTGGGTACGATTCACTTAAAAGTAATTAAGCAAATCGTTTAAATAAATAAACTGTGAAATTAAAACAACCTTTGATGTTGCATACCAGCATACGCTTGTATACTGCTATACAACTTCTCCTACTTCGAGTACATATTTCTATATTAAAGATTACATGATTGGCCTAAATACGATATAGGAATGACAGTTGGATACAGAAAGCTATACCGCTGAGTTACGATATCACCGATCGAGAAGAGAAACTTCTCAGATCAATCAAGAATTATAAGAAAGAGAAACTTAATATCAATAGTTCTCTCAATGGATTAGCTACCCAGAGAGAGAATAGATCAGCTATAAATATAAATGGTTCATTTACTTATATATTGATATAATTACACTGCTGATAAAGATTATAAAGAAGTAGTGTATGAATTAATGGATACTTATCTTCTACAACCAAATATACAAATATTGATAAGACAATATTCGGGATAATATTTTAGTCATTACAAAGATAATGAATAAATGATCAACTGCAACTATTATGTTCTATTGCCAATTACACTCGACAAACAAGTATGCATCTTTTACAGTAACCGTTGCATGATCTGATAAATAAGTGTCTGGTAATACTAAAGATTTATTAGAATACTCATGCTCCCAATCCACTGATATGGGACAGCGTTAACTGGAAACAATTCTAACGAGTAGTATTCATTTAACCCAAGGCGGGAAACAAAGTATAGATCTATTCCAAAACCAAAAAGGTTGAATCATCAATATAACTCATGAGAGTTGTGCAATATAAAAAGGATCAATTATTTCATAGAAGCAGAGTTCTTTATTCTATTTTTACCTCGAATAAAGATATACTCTTATCTCATTACTTTTCTATTGTAATAATTTTGTCAAATACCACAGACGGTATCAGGGAAACCGAAAAAGATCTTATCTACTTAAGCGAACAGTCCTTGCAATCCTTGTGCGATGAAAAAAACGTTTTCTTACAATGGATTTTGGAATATTGTGTCGCACTGTATTGGAGAAACGTTTCCCAACAAAAACACTGAGTAAGCAATGTACATACATCTTTAATTGATTACTTGACTAAAACACCCAATCCATCATTGTATTATTTTAGAGGCTATTATACAGCAACTGAATTCGAATGATGCTTATCATTTTACAACTACTCCCGTATTAGCCAGTGCATGCAATCAGTACTTTGTAAATTTCGAAAGCATGTGGTTACATGACCAGTATATACATGATATACGAGTTTGTATCACATTACTTCTTCGTATCAACCTTGCGAGGAGTAGGTTTTTTAATAAGAAGAAATGTGAAGCGAAGAAGATTGATGATTCCAAGAAGAGCCAAGTTGTATTCAAAAAATTTAAAGCAAAGAAATCATTAGCACAAAAAATGGAAGCATTATTCAAGTTGTTAATCAAGTTTCAAGACTCAAAATACAGAAAAATGCATTGTATCGCAAAAATTCTAAAAAATGTATTTTCCAGTACCGATTGTACAATTCCTCCATACTATGATGATAGAAAATCCGATGACGAAAGTCCAGGAGTTGCGGATGCAGAAAATAAAGATGAGCATGAAGAAGGTACGCTAATAAAACGGATGTGTCCAGTTAGGATAATCAAGAACTTTGCTAACCAGTTTCTAAATGTAGATCTTCAATCAAGCGATGACGAGGATGATGATTTTGTGGTGTCCGAAGACACCATCGTCCTGGACAATGCTACCATCAATAGAGATCTCACTGCTAGAGAAACGAGTGCTCCAATTGCAGTTGTAATGATGCTTTGAAGTTCAGAAACAATTGAGGGTGATGTCAGTCCTGAGTATATAAAGAGACAACTTTATAAAGACAAGCAGGAAACCATACCACAAGAAGCTTTAGTATTATGCTCCAAAGTTGTCAATAATCTGAGGAGAGTATCTCTGAAAAAAGATGCCGAGGCTTCTTTCATCAATTGTTATAAAATGCGGTATTTACGGAATGTCTTGGTGAACTTTGCTGGCGCAAAAACAAAATTAAAGAAAGGACGCTTTAATCCTGTAATTGAAGAGAAGCGCGTATCATTGGTTTTTGTAAATTACGCCACTTTATATACTTTGTTCTATAAAGACTACAATATTTTCAATTCTGAAGGTGATAGGTTTACCAGCGTACATGACATCAAGGACACCCAAGGCAAACAGTTTGTTTTCAAAAACTTTTTTGATAGGTGTACAGTAGATCGAATAATGAAAGAGCAAAAGATGACTTTTGGCTTCTCATTGTACTACTCTAATCGGTATGATTTGCCGTTTGTTGGGTTGAAGAAATCCATAAACAAAGATTTGCAGAAAACCCCCATCATTAACCAGGAGCCGCCCTGTTTGGTCATTGACAACAGTCAAATCGAAAAAGAAATTAAATAACTTAATGATGCGATAAAAATTTAAAAGAAAGATTATGCTGCTTTGGGGAAATTCATTCGAGTACAACAGAATGAATCTTGGTAGATCTTTTCGCGCAAAGGAGAAGTCTAATCACCCATGGGATACCAAATTGTACAAGCAATTGAAAAAAAAAGCGATCAGACTGTGACAATATCTATTCCGAATTGCGAAAATTAAATTCATCACTTATAGACCTTCGATATAGGATGTTTGCTCTCAACAAAGCAAGGCATAGGCAGTCTTTACCGATATCGACAAAGTCACTTCAAATACCAGATAAAATGAAGGCAGATCTAAAAAATAATCGTTTGTTGATTCAAGAAGTGGATCCTGGAATTGTGACAACGGCGGCAATTAGTTGTGTGAAATCATCTACTCTATTTGAAAGCCTCAACCGATTTCAAATGTTGAAAAATCATGAGCCGTGCACAATACCAATATCTAACCAAAAGGGTTATGAATATGAATACGCAGCAAATAAAATCAATCAGGCTGTACTATCAAAATACACATATATTACAAAGAGAGAAGAAGAAGAAATATGACATAGAAAAGAATAGATTCACTAGAAAAATCCGTCTAAACACTTACCATAAAAAACACTACTCTGTCACAAGAAGAGATATTTTTTCTTATCATGGTTGGAAGCGAGGTTCCATTCTTTCTTTTGTCGGTAACTGGTCCGGAAAAGGAGCATACATCCGTGGGCATACACGACGAAGCATGAAACCGATTCTGAATCGACTTAATTCTGTGGCTGATGATTATATCGCTGTAATAGATGAGTTTAAGTCGACCATCACTTGTAGCTCTTGTTTTGAAGTCACCACGAAACAAGTCGTGAGAGTTGGAGTGTTGTGATCGAGCTTATATACAGATATAACTAAATCATCAATTCTTTCTTTCTTATTTAATAACCTTTCTATAAATCAGTATTGCATTACTCTTTAAATTAATTACATGCTATTACACTCTATTTACTACGCATTGATTACTCATCAATGTTTAGAAAACAATAGTCATACACTTATTCCAGATAATACAATCCAATGATATGATCGCTCGTCAATAACAAGATTCTCAAAGGTAGATACCATTGAGATGCTCGATCTTTAATTGACAATACGCCTATTGTATATTTGACAGGTTTCACTCTAATGATTGATATTCAGTCAGTCCTGAATATGTATATAAAGAAGCCAATTTATTGTATAATAAAGACATTAATTTATTTTTGCAGTTTGATAATTTTACTTCGTCAAATTTCTTTATTTTATTCTTAATTCGTTGTTTTATCTCTCGAATTTCTCATCAATTTCATCGAGTTTACCGGTGCTAATGCAGAGAACCCATGGTGTTTCTTTGAAATCCACCTTCAAACAGAATATTCCCTTTAATCGGACACCCTTAAATAGAGCGGCTACTGTACTTGTATGGATGGCGTACGATGTCCCTCATCAATGTTCTTTCTAAATCTTGTGTTTAAACTCTTTGCCTTTTTTTAAAAAAATCTTGAACTGTTCAATAAATTATTATATATTATTAATGTATTTTAAACACTGCCGAGCATTTGCAGAACCTTATTCAACTGTCTATCAACTGTTTCCTTAAATAAAGAACCTTTGTAATCGATTTGATCAAAAATCGGTCAACTCATTTGTAAAAAAACCAGTTAATTTATTCTCAAAATGCTGGTCAAATGAACTTCAAATATTTATTTAAACTAACCCTCTTTTTTTCTGGACAGCTTAACCTCACACATACGAGCATTTTTTTTTAATATTTTTTTTGGTAAATTGAGATTGGAAGCACAGTACGTAAAAATAAAGTTAATGGAATGACAGCTTTTTTTTTATTTACCTCCGTCATTTTGTGTGTGTAACCAAAAAGACAAATAAATTCTGCGTTGTTCCCCGCATAGTATCTTTCACAAAGTCATGTCTAATCAAACGCGATCAGATAATCCTGAAAAGGCTACAGAAGCAGCAGAGCCTGCCCCTAACCGTGCTGCCCGTAGAGCCGCACAAAAGAAAGAGGCCAAAGTCACCAAAGTGACAAAGACTACTACAACAACAACCACTACAAAAAAGTCGAGATCAACTACACGATCGGGGCCTTCCAAGCCTTTGAATCCTAAAACTACCAAATACGAGTAAGCTAGTATACTATTTTACTTTTTTGTTACAGACAGAAAAAAAAAAGAGAGAAAGGCTCATCCTGTCATTTAGATTTGGTGGTGTCTTGGGTGCTGCTGCCATGATTGTATGCTTGCCTATGCTTGTCTTGGCTTTTACTTATGGCTGTAATCAAACATTCGGTTATAAACCTTTCCATGCATTATACGAATTCTTTGCCCAATTCAATCTTGACAATGTGATTCACACTCTCAAAAACTGGAATTATGGAGGTGCATTTTTGTATCTTGGTATCGTTGTTCAATTAGTCGTTTATACGATCGCACTTCCCGGAGAGCAAGTAGAAGGAGAACGTCTTCGTAATGGAAGCCGACTTACTTACAAGGTCAATGCTTTGACCGTCTTTCAAGGTTTAGTCACCATGGGCTTTATGGCGCTTCGTGGTCAAGGTTATCATATGTTTATTTATGCAAAGGCTCATTTTGCCGATATCGCTTTATTTTCGCTTGTCTTTTCATTCATTGTGTCAATTGCTGTTTACGTTTCAAGTTTCTTTGGAAATAAGATGCTTGCTTTGGGTGGTAATACCGGTAATCCCATTTACGATGTAAGTCATTTGCTCAAACCTCCGCACACTCTTTGTATGAAATTAATCCTCCTTCTTTGTTTCTCGAAAAGTTTATGATTGGCCGAGAATTGAATCCTCGTATCGGTAACTTTGATATCAAATTCTTTACAGAATTAAGACCAGGTTTAATCCTCTGGTTCTGTCTCAATATTTGTTTTGCTGTTAATCAATGGGTTGATTTGGGACGACTTACGTATTCAATGGTGCTTGTCAATATCTTCCAAGCATGGTACATCATTGACGCACTTTACAATGAATCTTCCATTTTAACCACCATGGATATCACAACTGATGGTTTTGGCTTCATGTTGGCATTTGGTAACTTGTGTTGGGTTCCCATCATGTACAGTTTACAAGCACGTTATCTCTCGGATTTCCCTGTAGATTTATCATACCCTCATTTAGCTCTTATTGTCGGCCTTCAAGCACTTGGTTATTATATCTTTAGATCTGCTAACTCTCAAAAGGATGCTTTCCGTAAAGATCCCAAGGACCCTCAAGTTGCTGGTAAGCAAACGAGAGAAAAAAAAAGGGTCACCTTTTTTTAAAAGATAAAGTAAAACTAATTGATAAACATGCTACATCTGATAGATCTCAAGTATATTGAAACTAAATCTGGATCCCGTTTAATTACTTCAGGTTGGTGGGGCAAGGCTAGACATATTAACTATTTTGGTGACTGGTTGATGTCCGTTGCTTGGTGTTTACCTTGTGGCTTCGATTCGATTATCCCTTACTTTTATTGTGTCTACTTTGCCATTTTGCTTATTCATCGTGAACGCCGTGATGAAGAAAAATGTAGAAATAAGTATGGTAGTGATTGGGATCGTTACTGTGCCATTGTTAAATATCGTATCATTCCTGGTGTATATTAAAAATAAAAAGTAGAAAGGTTCCCATCTTTCAAATAAAGTAAATAAATATGTGCAAGTATATCCTATCATAAAATTAAAACATTGATTTTATAATGACTGGTAGTAATGCTACTGTATACACAAATTTAAACTAGAGGTTGGGACACTTTGGAACAGAATACCATGGCCACGCAAAAATTCAGAACAACAGCTCAATCTCTCATAAGCGAGAAAGTCCAGAATATGTTGGCTTGCGTATCTAACAAAAAGAAACTATAATATATTGTTTTTCTCTTATAAAATTGGTTTGGTAATTACAGTGATTTTTCTTTTACATCTTTAGGTTCATGCTACTTTGTATTACCGGTGGACCAGTTTTATACAAACGTCATCTTTGCTGGCACCCTTATTTTGACGGTTAAGGAGCTTCCATGAGTTAATAAACATATCAAATCCATTTCTAGACATCAATAATAAATTGTATATAATTCATGATCAGGCCTGAATGAATCTATCAAAGACGACCACAACCTTGGAGGATGCACAACCTGCTGAAGTATTTTTCAGCATATTTATCTCTATCGAAAGCTTCACCTCTTTTTAATTTACTGACAAAGCAAAAGTTTAAGTCGCAAGTGTGTCGATGGGTACGCACAATATTTCTAACTTTGCGAGGTACTCGGGTCTCCACCCTATCCCAGTCATCGTGAGCTTTTAACCGTTAAGGTTCCACTTTCAATTTACTTGAGATCCGGATTATCGCTATCAAAAAAAGTAACCAAGATTTGGTTGTAACCTCTGAATACTTAAAGCGGCCAGACTTGAAAAATAAAATTGAATGTGTTGTGTATCTATTTTTGAAAGGATATGCTAGACTGCATTGACATCACGAAGAAAGTCAAGAATAAAGAATCAAGAGTGAAAAAATAAATCATATTGTTACCAATTTGAATTACCTAAGGAATGAGAGACGCTTTGTTACCACATTTGAGCACAAAAAGGTGTTTTAAAGACATGTGGATATTACCGCAATTCTCACATCATTTTCATTTTAATGAACTCTCTCATTATAATCTATTATACATATAAAGTAGTCCGAGATGATAAAGTAGACATGTACAGAAACCTTCTAATTCTTGATATTTATCAAGTAATCTTACGATTTTATGATTTTTTTTTTCAATGCACTAGTTACATACCCGTAAAGCCAGGATGATTTGTTTGCCAAAGTTTTGCGTTCCTAAATTCCTCTTAATGTATTATCCTGTAGTCCGGTACTTTACATCGAATTAAGAAAAAACTATTCGTGAGGTAACCATGTCCTTTCGCTTGCCTTCATACATAATCGAATAGGCGTTGTTACACATAAGCCATTTAGGGAATTGATTAATTTTTTTTTTTTTTTTTTGGTCGCGTATCCCATTTTACCTAAAAAAAATTCGCGATAAGTTTTTCTTTTTTTATTTGTTCTTTACCATGTCCTCACAAAAGAAACCTGCTGTTAAGAAACAATCGAAATTAAAGTATGTCTCTTCTTTTCCTACCCACATATAAAATCTAAACCGTCCAATCGTCTTCTAGTTTCTTTGGCGCTAAGCCTAAAACTGCGGAAGGTAAGATCGATCAAGACTTTATCACGATCAAGGACCTAACCCTGTTAAAAACCCAGTGGAGGAGCAGAAAAAGAGAAAGAGAGCAGTTATTAGTGATTCAGAAGAAGAAGAAGAAGTAACCGAAGAGAAAAAACCAAAGATCGGAGAGCAACATGAGGATATGGACATGACGACTCAGAAAGAGGAATCAAAGCCAGATATTGACATGTCGAGCCAACAAGAGGATATGAGTAAAAAAATTGAAGCCATGGACGTCTCTTCTCAAACATTAAAAGAAAATGAAGCCTTTGATAAAGAAATTGAGGAAGCTGCAGAGGAAGAAAAGGAAGCTAAAAAGGAAAAAATGGAAATGATGAGTATTATCCATACAATGTAAAAGCGTGCGCTTCCATAACATAGAGAGAAAGCCAATTGTCTAAAGTTTTTGTTGTTGTTGTTTAGTGCTTCTTCTGATACAAAGGATATTGGTTTAGAATGGAAAGCTGGAACAGCGTAAGTTACTGTAGAATTTATCTCCCATTTATTTGGAGGAACTCATCTTTTACATTTGTAGTGTTCCTTATGAAGTATTATGCAAAACCTTTGAAAAATGTGAGAATACCACCAAACGATTAGAGATTACGGAAAATTTGGTTCAGTTATTTGTCAAGGTGATTCGACTTACACCCGATGGATTACTTGAACTTTTATACATGTGTATCAACAAATTATGCCCGGATTATGAAGGACTTGAACTCGGTATTGGAGAATCCTTATTAATCAAGGCCATTGCACAATCCACTGGTCGCGAGATTAAAACGATCAAGGCGGAATATGTCAAGTGTGGTGATCTGGGTACTGTCGCTAGAGATAGTAAAGGATCTCAAAAAACCTTGTTCAAACCTAAACCTTTGACCGTCTCACATGTATTTCGTACTTTGAAAGCAGTAGCCCAAATCTCGGGTAACTCATCTCAATCGAAAAAGATTGATAAAATCAGAGGTCTTTTGGTCGCTTGTAAGGATGAAGAAGCTAAATTTATCATTCGTCATTTGGAGGGAAAGCTTCGTATTGGTTTAGCCGAACAGACTGTACTTTCTGCTTTAGCTCAATCTGTGGTTCTCAGTGATCCTAAAAACAAAAAGATCTCTACAGCCAAGAAGGAGGAATTGTTAGCAAAGGCGACTGAAACAGTGAAATATGTATACAAGTAAAAAAAAAAAAAAATCAAATGATCATGCTGGAGAACAGACCGAGATAAAATACGAATCTAATTTTTTTTTTCTTGTATAGTCAATTACCTTCGTATGATATGATTATACCTGCCTTGTTAAAGTGTCCCTTGGATAAATTACTTGAACAGTGTACAATGCGACCTGGTATTCCTTTGAAGCCCATGTTGGCTCATCCAACCAAGAGTTTGACCGAAGTTCTGAATAGATTTGAAGGACAAACATTTACATGCGAGTTCAAATATGATGGTGAACGTGCACAAATTCATCGTCTTGAGGATGGTACGATTAATGTCTATAGTCGTAATTCTGAAAACATGTCCGAGAGATATCCTGATATTATGACCGCTATAAACAAGGTTTGTGTCTAGTTTTTTTTTGGGGGGTAGGAAAAGAAAGTGATATTAATAGGTTCTAGTAGTGGATTAAACCATCCACAACATCATTTATATTGGATTGTGAAGCAGTGGCATGGGATAAAGTAGCTGGACAGATTTTACCTTTCCAGGTGTTAAGTACACGTAAACGTAAAGATGTCAAGGAAGAGGATATTACCGTCCGGGTAGCTGTGTTTGCATTTGATTGTTTATACTTGAACGGAAAATCTTTATTACAAGATTCTTTAGCGGTGCGTCGAGAGAAATTAAATGATGCCTTCCAAGAGACAAAGGATGAATTTTATTTCGCCACTCATATGGATTCCAACAACATTGAGGATATTCAAACCTTTTTGGATGTTTCAATTACAAGCAATTGTGAGGGTTTGATGGTGAAATCATTTGATAGTAAAGAGGCAACGTATGAGCCTTCCAAAAGATCTCGTAATTGGCTCAAGGTAAAGAAGGATTATTTAAGTGGTGGTGTAGGAGATTCGATGGATTTGGTAGTGATTGGTGCATATTATGGTCGTGGTAAACGTACAAGTGTCTATGGTGCATTTTTATTAGCCTGTTACGATCCAGAGACTGAGGAATATCAGACGATTTGTAAGATTGGTACAGGTTTCTCAGACGAAAATTTACAATTGTTCCATGATACGTTGAAAGCACATGTCATTGAGGCACCCAAGCGATTTTACTGTATTGGAGAGAATGGAGCCAAACCTGATGTTTGGTTTGACCCTAAAGTGGTATGGGAAGTGAAATGTGCTGATCTTAGTGTGAGTCCGAAATATATGGCAGGTGTAGGTCGTGTGGACCCTAACAAGGGTATCTCACTTCGTTTCCCTCGTTTCATCCGACTTCGTGATGATAAAGATCCCGAAGACGCTACATCCAGTGAACAAATATCTCAATTTTATCTAGATCAAGCCAATTTACAAGGATCAAGTAATACAAAGGACATGGACTATTAATTAAAAGAATAAAACCCATTTCCATAGTTATATGATTAAAAAAAATTACTGTACAATACTTCCACCATCAATTGGACACTTTTGTGAAAATATTGGTCGGATTCTAAAAAAATATTGGTCGCTTTTCTGAAAACCAATTGGTCACTTTCTTGAAAACCTATTGTTCACTTTTTCAAATGTCAATTGGTCACTTTTTGGTAATTCATTTGGTTACTTGTAAAAAAGACTTATACAGTGAAGCCTATTGAAATTGATGTTTTCCAAAAAAAGTAACTGGTCAAAAGTCAAAAAAAGGACACAAGGTTAACTAAAATTGGTATTTAACTGACAGATGCTTTTGGCGGGGTTTTTTTGTCTTCTTGCTTAAAAATACAACTATAATGAGGGCTACATTCTTTTATAAAGATAGACAAGAGAACCTGTTGAATGAACTTGGAGAAAGAGTTTTCGATCCAACGGAGGACGTTTTGACGCAAGTTGACGATCTAAATGTAGCTCTTGGAACAATAACCAATCGAGAATTTTACTTGAGCGCTAAGAACTCCGAAAAAGTTGTTTAGTGAGCCCTCAGTTAAGGAACAGCTGAAATCTAGTAATTTGACTAAATCAGCCAAGTTATGCAATCTCCATAACGATCTATCCAGAGAAGCGTTTACTAATCGTATGCTTAAGCAGCCTCAAGAATATAGTTTGGTGGCTAAAGCTGCGAAAGGACCTCACGTGAAATACCGTACTGCGCTAAATTGGTGGCACATCTATGAGGACATGAAAAGAATACCGTATAAAAAGAGCGAACAAAACAGAATTTGTTTTGATCTTAGCCGGTTTTATACACGAGCCCAATTGTCATAATTGTGATTTTCCAAAGTTCGTTATATCAAATACCGAAATCTGCTTCAGGCTTAAGAGCTTTCTATATCTTGGAGTGGGAGTTGGGATGAGTGTTACTATTTCTTGCGTCCTCTCTTCGGAAACTGAGTATCTACTTGGCCGTCACCTTGTCTACATTGTAAATACTAAATCAAATTAGACTGATTTGATTGAAAGTGTCAAAAACAAGATTTAAGAAGGGTAAATTCGCAAACATATTATTTTTTGAAGGGCTCTAAGCTATACGGTTTATAATTTGTAGAATTTTGTGCTACAACTTATGGATCTATTTACACTGAAAGTTACATATTAAAAAACGTGCTTCCTCACTAAAGGTATGAAAGATCGACTTTTTGTTTTCAAGCATGATTGACATCTTCAATAACATGAATAGTTTAGGAACATGTAGTGCAAAATTCTGAATAGAAAAGATCCACTCAAGATATTCCGATTGCAATCTGGACACTTCAATAAGTGAAAATACGTAATTTCATCAAGATAGTTTATTTCGCCATTTTCTCCAAAAAAACCTACACAAAACGATACTGGGTACGTAGAACAAGCTACTGGAGCTTTTTATTTACATCTAAATCGCTCGGATCAGTTCAGCTTGACAACGAGTATTATGAAATGCCAAAAAATCCCCTGAAAACTCTCTTAAATTGGCCAACAGTCTGTTGAATACTATCTATTAACTGGATCATTTTCTTCACGACAAGACTGCTCCCAATATAAAGCAAAAAAAAAAGTCTAATGCACAAATTATCTGAAAAAACTAAACCAATAGTGGACTCTTCCTAAATGAAGAATTATAAAGGTTTAATAAGAGTTATAAAATTTGATAATATGTTTCAGACAGCGCCACTTCAAGCTTTAAATCATATAAGAAACATCCTCGAAAATATTGGGAAATCAGGAAGTGCTTTTGATCAGTTATCTAGATACGCAATCAAATGTCATGAATACTCTATGAAGCCAAAGTTTAAGGAGACATTCGAAAGATTATATGCCGCCAAGCAAGGAAGAGCTCAAGATAGTCTGCTGAATAAAGTGACCAAATGAATTTCCAAAAAGTGACCAATTGACATTTGAAAAAGTGAACAATAGGTTTTCAAGAAAGTAAAGTGACCAATTGGTTTTCAGAAAAGCGAGCAATATTTTTTTAGAATCCGACCAATATTTTCACAAAAGTGTCCAATTGATGGTGGAAGTACTGTATTATAAACATAGGCTCCAACTACACACACACACACACACACACACACACACTGAAAAAAAAATAAAAATAAATAAAAGAGCAGGATGTAGAAATACAAAATTAAGAGTTTTTTTTTTTTTAAGAAAAAAAAAAAAAAACTATGATTAATCCTTTTTCTTTGAGGCCAAGGAAGCAACAAGATGAGAGCCCGAAAATGAAGGATGATTTTTCAGTAATTTATAGCTTGCTAAACCAGTCAATATCACTACACCCGCCACTAAAGATAAAGTGAGACAGTGTTTTGATATCCAAGGTTTGTCTGATTTATCTTTTCTAGATCCAGGAGTAGCCATTGTGCTATTAAAAAAAAAATCCTAGGGTAAGTATATCATGACATATCTACACATGTGAGCCACTTACGGATTCATGGCTAATGCTGTCAATATATGATACAAATCGGCCATTTGGTTCTCCTTGACAGACACGCTTAAGGGAACGGCCAAGCCCAGGTTTCTACAATAAATATCGGGCTGTACTTCACATCGTTGAGTGACTAAATCCAATTCACATTTGGTTGCAACAAATACTGTAGGGACATGATCTATTTTGTGTTTTTCCTGACAGATAAAAAAAAATGAGAAAAAAAGATGGATGAGATGTAAAAAAAAAAAAAGATGTTTACTCGTAATGCAGCGACATATTCAAACGAACTTGCATCACTGGTATCATAGACAAAGCACAGCAGATCACACTGGTCAAGCCTTTTCTTGTTGGACAGTATATCAGGTACATGACTTGGTTCGGCCTCTTGCATAACCAGGTATTTCTCTGAGCCATTTATTTCGACACTATTCACCACATGGAAGGGTTCTGTGGAGGGTTTATCGGTAAAGCCATGCTCCACAAACTTTTTCTGAACAAATGCCTTCAAAAGTGAGGTCTTTCCTGATCCAGGAGCACCGATAACATAACACGAGAAAACATTACGTTGAATCTTGCCTTTTTTACGGTCGACTTTTTTGGGTTTTGTGACTTTAAGAGCTGTACGAGTATCACCTTCGAAACCAAGATAGGCAAGGTATTTCAGTGTTGTTCTATGATCTAATAAGGTGGTCATACTCCATTGGGCTAACCAACCCTGTAATGTCACTGATCCAGACTCTGTCGTTATGGTGGTATGTGGGAAACCCGTATTGGCCCAAGGGTTGCCAGGTGATGTACTGAAGAGTGAGTCCAATTCATTTCTTTTCAAAGCTCCATCCTTGTCTTTATCAAACGTCTGGAATAATTCGGCAAAGAATTGGTAGCCATGAGGAGATAATTCCACTGAACATTCAGCAGGCACTTCGAGACTGTATTTGTAAAGAAACGTCAATTTATATCCATATAGCTCTATATATGTATATGTGATTATACTTACGAGGGTAGTAGAAAGTCTTCGCGCAGTGAGAGATCGTCACCGTAACCGAATTTACGAAGCACGGTCCAGGTGGTTTCGAGACGGCCTCTTTGAATGAATAATGAATGTAAATAGATGAAGCCAGACTCTGTTAAACCAATATCACTTACACCAGTGGGTTCATGTTCTCTGACAACCTCCTTCACACCATCTAGTTCTTGTGGTTGTAAAGGAGCATTGAAGCACTTTCTCTAAAATAAGGCAAATTGCATGAATAACATAAAAAAAAAAAGAGGTGTGGGGTGTGTGTACCTGAAATTCATTCAATTCATCATCATTGAGGATATTGTCCTTGTCCGTGTCACATAGCTTGAAAATACGTTTTAAGGCTTCGATACACTGAGGTTTTAATACGTGTTCTCTTGAATCATACAGAGGTGCGGTTGGATGAAGCACAGCTTTTTGAGCGAAATAGAAAACTTCTGAAACATTCAATAATTGTTTAGCCGAGCATTCGACACATGTCTCCACCTCCTATGAAAAAATTGGGGGGGGGGGTTTAATATTGATAGGATTGCATATGCTATGTGGTTGTAATTTTACTTTAAATTCGTTCATTATGGGTATAACTTCATCTTCTAGACTTCCATTTGCCACGTCATTTCCACGTAAATCAATCTTATTACCGACCAATACAGCAGGAACCTATCCGTTTTTTTTTATATATATCAGTGTGTGTGTTCATATGTGCTTGTGTGTGCTTGTGTATATGTGTGTGTGTAATATTTTTTTTTTCTTATTTACATTCACACCCAAAGATCTGATATAAGGCAGCCAGTATAATGAAAGACGATTAAATGTGTTGGGGTCATCGATAGCATATACGATACAAATGACATGGGCTTTACGTATCTCTGCCTCTAATTGTTCACGATCTTCTGTTCGGGCTATTGTGGGTTGAGTTTAGTCCTTTTGTGTTTCGTATTCAATTTATCTCTTTTATTTATTTACCAGACGAATCCATGATATGCATAGTAACATTTTCCGGGGTGACCTCTGGTGGAATAGTCACTTCGGGTATAAGATGTTGAACCTAATGAACAAAAGCATTTTTAAGTATTCACTTTTTATAGGCCCACTTTTTTTTTGTTGTTGTTGTGGTTTTTTTCTTGAGAATTACATTGGGTACAAAGGTTTCTTTAATTAAGGATGCAATAAGTGTACTTTTTCCTACTCCCTCTACAAGAAGAAAACAAGGTTAATTGTTCTGTTTCTTTCACTTGGTCCATGTTTGTTGCTTTTTACCATCACCCACAAGAAGTATACGAACATCTCTTCTCATTATTAATTATAAAACGCGGTTTATCCGAGGTTTATTTTAAAAAAGAAGAAGAAAAAAAAAAGTAACCCCCCACCCCTCCGGCAACTTTGTGGCGGTTGTTTATTTTTTTTTTTTTTTGTGTGAGCGGAATAGAAAAAAGGTGAACATATGACAACTGTACGATTGAATCAGTTTATTATTATTATTTTTTTTGACATTAAACAATAAACATGCCCTTGCTAAAAGACAGAAACATCCATGTTGATGACCGAAACGCATTACATAATTATTTTTATTTTTTATTTCAAATAAAACGCGAACATGCCATGTTGAAATAATAAAAAAAAGAAACGGTCCTGCAAACCCGGTGTTTTAAAATAAAAAAAATAAAAAGGGTTCAAACACATCATTTTTTATTACAGTTCCATACCGGCAGCTTCATCTTCTGAAGAGTCAAAGCTAACTGAACTCATATCTTCCTCATCTGAGCTTTCATCTGCTGCTGCATCAGCTGCTTCTTTTGTAGCATATCTTGAGACGTAATCTAGTAAATCATATGAGACGTGTATATCTAAACTACATCTTTTTTTCTTTTTCTTTTTACCTTTAACTTTGACTTCATATTTAGGTGGTTCTCTCATCAATAATGCAGCAGCTTCTCCATTTAAGGGATCTGTTGGGTTGGGATATCGAAGTAATTGAGGAAGAAAGACTTCAAAAATATTTATCATGTCTATTAAAAGATTGGGTTAACATCCAAACACGTACACTGTTATAATCCCGCTTACCAAACATTGGACTCCATGTTTGATTAATCACATCCAGGCAAACAGATCCACTACTATTTTAACAATTAAAAAAAAAAAAGGATGTCAATCTAACCGTAAATTACGTATCGACTTTAAATAGTTTACACTTCATCAATATTTGGGTGAAATATTCTGTTCATAAATCCAATACTCGGTGATTTGTAAGGGTATTGATCAGGAAGTTCTACATGAACCTTCCAAACACCACCAGTAAAAGGTGCTACATTATCCATATAAGTACACGTTAATTTCCCCCTATCTATCCACTTACTGTCTGTTGGTCCATGAAAACGAACATAGAATTCTTGCATATTATCATTAACTAGAGTTACTTCGTAATCACTCATTAAGCTACAATACCATAGGTTAATCTCATCTGTTGTCTTATTCATTGACTACTTTGATACTTTACAGCTTCATAACATCTGTTTCAATTCTTCTTCTTGGTGTGGACATTGGTGGTTATTGTTGCTGAAGGAAAAAAAAAAAAAGAGGGAAAAAAATAAAAATAGGGAGTTTAGGCTTTTGATTTTTTTTTTTTTTTTTTTTTTTTTATTCTCACATACAAATGATTGGTGGGAGGCACTCTTTTTATATACCAAATTCGTCACCTGTTTTTTTTTCTTTTTCTTCGATCATATCAGATTCGGATACTTTTTACAGATTGTCATGTATGCATCCAAATATGTGTGCCCCTTCATAGGATTTCTTCTTCATTTAAACACATTCCTAGAACCCCTTTCTTTCTCTTATAAAAAATAAATAAAAATAAAACGACGAGGACAAAACATATTTGCGCGGGATCTATAAAAAAGCATAAATCCCAAACAGGAATTTTTTTTTTTTTTTTTTTCACGCATCAAAAAAGAAATCAACAATCGGAAGCTGTGCCTATTTTTTTTTTATTTCAGTTGTCCTAAACCAACTTTTTTTTTTTTTTGAGGGTTGTCCAATTACGGGATGGTGCAACAAAATTGTTTTGTCACATCTCAAATCTGTTATCAGTTTTTGATGCAAATAGCATTACAAACACCGCATAGTTACAAACAAATTTCGCTATGATCACGTCATGCACTTTTTTGTCAGTGCTTAATTAAATAGGTGTCCACACTCTGAAATCCTGTAACATGTTTGTTCTTTTTACCGTCTATCAATATCATTAGAGCATTTGGCCTCCGGAATGATAAATCCTATAAATATTCATTTTCACCCCCTGATTAATATGGGGCTAGTTTCTTGAATATCGCAAATGAACTCAGTATTTAAAAAGTCCGTCATGTTATGTTTCTTGATTTACAACTACAAAAACTTTAAAACGATAAATATTGACGAACTCTATTCATGCAACGTTTCATTGATAATCTTTTATTATAGCAGCAATACAACAAATACACGTTTATCCTAGGATGTCTCCTCATATTCATAAATTACTTACCATTTTGCTCCACATCCCCATATCCTGTGATACCATAACTATCATTTGCATCTGCTCTCGTCTCTCCATCATGTAGAGGCCAAATATCACAAAGCATAGCATGGAATAGACTGGTATCTTTTGTCTTTATAAAAAAAAATACCTCTGTCGAGCTCAAACATTGAACGTTCATCTGCAATTTTAAATGGTAGCCATCCATAAATTAATGCTGGTCAGGTGCGGGTCATAGTATATTATATCTAGCGCAAAACTAGTCTTCTCTTTTTCGAGGCAAGCTTATCTTTACATGTGATGCCAAAGGTTTTCTTGAAATTATAGTAAGGGATATCAATTTATGGAGGTAATCAAACAGAACAAAGTCCATACTAATTCTTTTAAATGATAGTCCTCAGTTGTTAGTTTCTCTATGTATACTAAAAGTTAAAGGTCGATAATTTATCAGATTACCAAAGTAAAAACAACTGTAGATTGAATATATCTTAGTATTTATGCATACGCTCGGACATAAAAGTTCATTTTAAAGGAAATTGGTAATTTCAAAGAATTTGAAGTTTATAGAGCGCCTTGTGCATGATTATAGAGTATCATTTTGATATCTTCGATCCTTGTTAGCCTTTTCAGAATAAAGCACAGGAAAAACCACTTTAGCCATTGTAGGATGAAACCAAGACAAGCATCGGATATGTGAATTCAACTGTAAAGTGGCCCCTTTGTAATTTAACAGCGAACACTCCCCACAATTCAAGCAACAGCCTAAAACCCTTTCATTTTAATCTCTTTTCTACACCAGATGAACGGAGGCTGTTGATTCCCGGTCTACATTACATCCATTTAATCCTAAATGAAAACTATCGGCTCTGCTGCATGTTCCGTCATTATTTTGACCATATCTTCCTGCGTAAAATATAGTCTGTCCTATCATTTCAGGAACATTCAATAAATTGCCATCGAATATTTTCCACAAGTCAGCAGTATCCATCATTACCAGCACTCGATACACCTTTCATATAGGCTAGGATTATTTGCTTCCTTTGACTGATAAATACTTGGGGTACGGAAAATATTAACAAGTGATAATCTATGACTTATCGGTGAGTATATAGCGTTTATCCTTTTTTGATACGCAAAACTTTCTATGCCTATAGAACTTTGTCAATCTTATTAAACATACCGAATAGTCCAGCTTAAAAAAATACATCCATAACACTGGTGCCAAGATCGTTATGCTCAACGGCAACATCATGTACATTCTTTCCATAAATCATAGACATTGCTTACGATGAATGGGACTGTGTTGAATATTCAGTGAAATTCGATGGTTACTATTTCAAATGATCTTAACAAAAACAAGTCTAAACAAAGAGTTTTTTTGTTGTAAATCGTTTTAAGCGAAAGGCCGATGCTTTAATTAATTACTTCACCAGTCATGAAATTACTTTTGCTTTCCAACCACATTGCTTGCATATGTATCCAACGGTAGGCTGTATTTTCACTTCAAAAGCACTGAACGTACTTGTAGGTTCAGAGTGTTCACCTACAGCATTTGTACGTTCGGCATCATTAGACTTGCTGCAAAGACCAATTTTAGTTTGAGTGAACAAAAAAAAAAAAAAAAAAAAAAAAATTAAGAGGGAGAGGAATTGAAAGTGTCTGGATCCATCCATCCTTTTACTTGGAGCATCCCGACTAGTGTTCGGAATGAAGATCGAAACTCTCGAGCGAGCTTCGATCGTGTTTTAGTCGAAGCTCGCTCGGATGCGTTTTTTTGCAGCTCGAGCTCGCTCGAAGTTTCTTAAGCTCGGCTCGGTTGCGAATACGATAGCTCGAACTCGCTCGCCCTTTTTATTACACAAAGTGCACGTCAAAGTGATGTTAATTACAGAAAATTATGATAATAAAATTGTTATTTATTGAAATAGAAGTTGGAAAAAGAAAAAGTTTTTTTTTTCACCAGCCTTAACACCAAATTCGGATAATTAAATCAAACTATTACTGCATCTATAATTATAATACATTTGGATTTGTGAACATGAAAGTTTAAATTAATTCTGCTACGTCATGTTACTATGGTTGCTGTAAAAAATTGGCTTAGTTGGGTATAGTGTGCAACACTGTTTCATTTTCTATGGTAAATGTGTTTGCTGGTTGTACAATTAAATAAAAGTCCAAAGCATTTTAATTGGAATTATTAGAGCATAAATAAAAAAAAAAATGGTAAAGGGAAGAAAAGATTAAAATCAAGGGGAAATGCCATCTGTAGTCTTTCAAGGACCTTAACTTTAAAGTGACTACTATCGACATTTTAGCCGAGCGAGCTTCGAGCGAGCATCGATCGAAGCTCGCTCGAACCCAAAAAAAGTGGCGCAAGCTCGAGTACAAAAACTCGGTTCGAGCTTCGTTCGAACTGGCGCAAGATCGGTGCAAGCTCGAAAAGTTCGAACACTAATCCCGACGGTGACTTTAGTTATTTACGTTCGAAGCATAGCTGACGAACTCCACTTATTATTCGAAGGGAAAGAGACTCTTGTCGTGTTACCATCTTTTCTTTATTAATGCGAAATTCAAAAAAAAGAAAAAGAAAAATAGGATAAATAACATACAATGATACTTGGGATAAATATAATTAAATTCTTTTCAACGATTCATCTAATAGCAGTGCTTGTAAAAGAAAACAAAGGCCCTCAGTGGAATGAAGGTAAAATTAAACTATAGTCATCATAGAATAATCCTAATACTTGCTTAGAAACACAATCATTTGTTCCCAATTTCAATGAAAGATTAACATAACCATCTGTTAAAAACTTTCAAACTGTGCATGATTCACAACGGGAAATAAAATGTAATCTAGTGTTATCTGGTGTAATTTGGTGTAATTTGGTGTTAACATTTTAAAATCGTCACTCGAACATTAACACTAAATTACACCAAACTACACCCACTTACACCTTCTTTAAAAGTGTGATAAAATATAAAATGGTGGCAACACGAAATCACACGAAATCACACGAATTTACACCAAACTATACAAAAGCAAATCAATGACATTTTAAATAATTATAGGAAGGATGGCTTTTTCTTTTTGTATGTTTAAAATTATTTATAAGCATACAGTAGTAGAAAACTGTGAAACTGTATTCTACTGTAGCCCTTTACACATTACATGCACTATGTCATCATTCATAATCGAAGGAATATAGATGGTCAAACCAACAATATCATCGATGGCTGCTATATATACAGAGGAAAGTACGTTTGATCTGTTCATGTAATAATTCGAGCCATTATGCAAAAGCATGGCTTCTAAGGTTACCATTGCATACAAGATGATGCCATCTAAACTGAATACAGTACTTATGATTCCTGTAGCGTGCTCAACACGACCATCTTCATTCTTGAACTCTACCACCACGGATCTTTTGGTTTTTCTTTTATGACTGAGCGATTGCTTGGTACGAGGAATACAGCAAGTTGGATAATAATTTATATTATCCTGATTTGAAAGATATGGAAATTTATACATCATCGCTTCCACTTCTTCTTGTGATGAAGTTGTAAAAAGCTCAGTTATGGTCATAATTTCTTTTTTGTTCACTTGCAATTCCTCAACACCCCAAGCTCGACAAGCAAGAGAATGATGATTTTTCATCACTGTTACAGCATTCTCGGCAGGCTTTGATCTTGATCTAATTAACCTCTTCACATTACCGATCGTTCTTTCTAAGACTCGTGCACTTGAGCAGCGAAGCGGTCCAAGCTGACGTATCATTTCGGTAACGTGAGTCAAGTAATGTTGATTGATCGTAAAAGCCGTGTCTTTGTACACCTCCAGCAGAAACAAGTGCCATACCTCAATCAATCTGTAAATAGGCATAAATACATAAGGCAATTTGAAAGTTAGTTATGTGCTAAACAACATTCTACTACATTTACCTATCAATCTCGATAAGATCCATGGTGGAAATTTCGTATTGTTCCGTCATACGACAGACTTTGGACAAGCATTGCAAGGCATAGCAAGTCTTGCCTATAATTTCTGGCACTTCTACCAGATTCGTCCCAACAGGAACAGGCACGTCTCCTCTTTTCATCTTTTTGTTGCGTCGTGCTTTTTCGGCTGCAACAATGTCCATTGCTTGTGTTTGTAGCGCTTCGACGACCAGCGTGGGTACGATGTACTGCATGAAGTCAATCATGTCCACACATCTTGCATTTCCTGCACGGTTAGCCATGTCTGTTGTATGAATGTTAGATACGATGTATAAATTGGAAATAAAAAAGCACAAACAAAATACAAGCCATTAAAAACTTACCAATGAGCTGGCCGTCTAAAGCACTACTATCGATACAACGTTGAATGGTGGCCATTCTGGATCCAACGTTGTCACGATATTTGTTTCGGAGAAACAGTGGGTTTTCATGCCCAAACAACTGCTTATCGTCAACCATCATCTTCCACAGTTGCTTGGCGATGTTTGACCCCCAAAGATGGAGTTCATCCAGACCGAAGAAGGAGTATCCCTGGAAGCTATTCAGCAAAGAAAATGGTGTTGGCTTTTTGATTCCAGCACTCTTTTGAATATGTATTTCAGTATCATTAGTAAATTTGAATATAATTATTTAGCTACACTTTTTTTCCTGGTCACATATAGCAGTACCTTATCACCATGACGAAACGCATTGGAATCTCTATAGTCATTTTTTAAAAAAACCCCATCCTTGTCCATTTTTGGGGGAAAAACTATTGCCCGTTTTTTACTTGATTGCATACCTCGAATGGTACACATACGGCAACCAGTATAGGACGTATGTCCTGAATGACAACAAAGATCCGCTACTCCAGGTATATCCCCTACAACATGAACAAGCTTCGCCTTATACGTACAGGTGCCATCAGAAGCCATGGAAATCCCAGCCTCCTCGAGTGTTATCAGCTCCTTTAAAGTGGGGTAAAGGAAGCTGAAGATATCCCATGGCTTTTTTTTCCGTGGTGATAATCCCCATGATAAGAACATTTTCGGCCTTATCTTTTTGAAGTAAATATATGTACAAAAAAATCAGTATTCCATTTCAAATTCAAATGTTATCAGTACAATACCTTAATTCTGGAGATAAGTCCAGAATTGTCACCATCAACAGCGTCATACTTTGACCTGTAGCACCTCTTTTAAAAGGTGAAAATGCATCGGCATGTAAAGCCAATGAGAGCATTTTATCACCTTCTAAATCTTGGTTGTTCTTCCAGGCACTACCATCAAAAACATCTTTGTAAGATCCGGACGAAGATTGTCTCTCTTCTCTATATGCGTTGATGTTGTTGACATTTCTTTGTTGAGTCAGAAAATTTCCGAGTTGCTTTGCGAGAGATAACTGCGTATGAGTTTCTACAGGTACACCTGTGGCATTATCGGTGTATCTAGCAGCTTTACAAGAAACATTTGGACACTCAGTCTGTCCTCTCTCTTGTTCATCATCCACAAACATGTAACAGCCGTTACGACACATGTCGTACGTATCTGAATCTACTCTGGATATGTTCTTGCTGGAGATTGCATCGCATTTGTAGGGTGAAAGCAAATGGAGGTGTTGTTCTATTAAAAAAACGTCATAAATAAACAATTATTTAGATATAACATTTATCAATTTACCGAGCTCAAGATCTGACATATACTCATTAAATGCTGCAATTAATTCTTCTGAGGCAGTTTTTGATACTGCCCGCTTTGTCATGATGTCTCTTATCTTCAAACTGGCTTTTTCAGTCAAATCAAGAGGTCTCGTGCAGCCTTGAGTGTCAATACAAATCGGTGTTTGAACGGTTTTCTTAAAAATTTCTAATTTTTTCATCACATCTTTTTTTTCCTGGGTCAAACATTCTTCTTCAGGATCCATGTTCTGATCTTGGAATTCTTCATCTGCAAGCAGGCCTTGTGATTCCTCAACGAACGCGACATTTTCTTGTTCGTAATCGTAATCCATAGGTTCGTCTTCGTACGTTTCGGTTTCTGTAGACACATTCTCGAACATGGTGCCAGTGTTCTGCAAGTTTTGTAAGATTTGTTGGCCCATTGCGGTATTTCCATTTATTGAAGGACTAATGCTAATATTTTTTGATACTCGACTATAGATTTTTAATGATTGTTGAACCTTATGATTATTAAGGTGGTTTGATAAATCTTTCAACTTAACTTTTTCTTGACAAGTAGGGCAGTAATGTTTAACCATTTTTTTAAAGTGTCAGAAAGTGTGAAAAGAAGATTGGACGACGAGTCTGTTTTTCTTTTATTGTTTTTGACAGAAATAGATAATGACACTAATAATTACCAGCTTGATTATTTACCAGGGATAAAAATTTTTCACTACTTTCTTCTTTTTATTTTTTTTATTCTAGATATGCCTCCTAAAAGAAAACAACCCATCGAACCTACATCCGATTTGCTCTCGTCTATAGAAGCAATAGTAGAAAGAGCCTTGTTAGCTCAAAAGAAATCGATGGATGATATGATTACGGCAAAGGTGGATGAAGCCTGTTCAACGTTGGAAAGGAACATCATTTGCCTTGAAAATAAAATCGACACTTTACAGGAAGCCTTACAAAGTTTGACTGAAAGAGGTCTCCAACAAGGTGAGTCTACTGTTTCTTCTGGTACTGTTCCTTCTATTACTGTACCGAAGGCAGTTTCATACAAGGACAAGAAACTGGAGATAGCAATCTTGCTATTGAAACAAGTAGAAGGATTGTCTGAAACTGACAAGGAAGCTATGATGGAGAATTTGAATCGTTCTGCCCTTTCTGTTTGTCGTGCTTTCGCTTCTCAAAATCACATGGGTAAGTACAGAGGATGGGGATCCTTGAATGGCACTGAGCAATGGACAATGCTCAAATCAATGCAAGAGGAAGTAGTGGAAATCGATCCAAGGTTTGGTTTCCTTAAGTATTGTGCTCGTCTTTGGCCATGCGAATTTATTTTGCAGCCCAAATGGACACAAATGTCCAAGAATTTCCGAACAGAAAGGTAAAGAGCAACATGAAAGAAATAAAAGTCTTCCGGTACTAACCTAGATATTTAATTACGTAGGCAAAACGCAGAAGCAAAGAAGATCATAGATGAATATCATTATCAAATGACACCTTAAATAAAAATCATATTTTTAGTTATCCAATTTTTGTAATAAATATAATAAGGTTTTAAAAGCATCATTAATTTACACCAATTTACATCCAGCTGATGTTTACACCATTAAGGTGGGATTAGGTGCATATACGTGTTAACATAATTCAAGTGTAATAAGATTGATTTAGGTGTTAACACCAGCTAGGTGTAATGAAATGTGATTAGGTGTTAACACTATTTGGTGTAATTTGGTGTAATGTGGTGTTAACATCAGACTGCCCTTGGGAGCGGATTTTTACACCGAAATGGTGTTAACACCAAATTACACCAAATTACACCAAAATTTCCCGATGTGATTATGAATGTTTTTGACTCCGACATACGCTGACATATTTATACAGTGAATTATATTTGGCCGTGTCGAATGAGATTTATTTACCATGGATTACAAATACCCAATGTGCTTACTACAAGCCTTTTCAATTGTCCTTACATCATTTGGTGCTAAACTTGCCTGCGAGTCTTATATGCCACAATACCCGAAAGCACAATAAAATTATTCAATCCATCCGAAGCTTTTTACTTTTTTCAAAGCCAAGATACTGCGTTTATAGAGATACAAACAGCGATATAAAGCTTACTATATCTGTTGTTACAATCATAAATACGATGTCAGTGGCAAAGGACAAGCTGTTTTGGTATTGAATTTTTTATTTATTTATTTAAAAGCAATGGGAATAAATTATAATGAGTGTTATGCATATGTGTTAGATAATATGACTCAAGGAGAGTAATTATCTTTTAAAGAGTTTCTTGAAGGATTTCGTGGTGTTGGTTTTTTTTGTTTGAAATGATACCAATACGATTGGCTTTACCAATTAATTGGATTTGGTCATTGATGAATATATCACACGCTTTCACTGATTTTTTGTAAAGGCGCGAGATAATGTTCGTCTTTTTTGTGGAAGACTCCTTAGTAGGTTCGATGGATGCGACAGAGCTGTTTGTAATATCTGTTCTGGAAAACACAAGCTGCTTTGTATGAAGTAACTCCTTCTTCACTCGCTTGTTTTTCTCGATGATATGAGCCGCTGATCTTTTGAAAAGGCGTAAAATAGCATTCTTCTTTTTTGTGGGAGATACCGTTGGGAGTTCTATGGATACAGCAGGGCTGTTTGTAATAGCTGCCTCTGGAAACACAAACGAATGTGTAGGAGACAACTCCTTGTTCACTTGCTTGTTTTGGATGGTGTCGTTCTTGCTAGCATGAGACGCTTTTTGAACAGTAACAGCCGATTCATTTGATCGGGGTTCTTCTTGCTGCGCAGTAATAATTTTATCTGAGAGCCCGTCATCTTGCTTTTGATCTGCCTTATTGTCAACTGGGTGATTGTCGTTTTCGTTCTCCAGGCTGGAGGTAGTCTCCACAACGCGCTCTTCTTTTGGAGTTGCAATGAATGATGACTCGTCGGCAAGCTCTTCGTTTTCAACTGTATCTGTTAAAGCCTTGACTAGAAGTTCTTCTCCTTCAGTAAGCGTTTCTTCTTCTACGTCAAATGCTTCTTCATCAAGTATCTTTGGTTTCTGCTCCTCTTCCAACTCAAATACGGCTTGCTCTTGTACTGGTAAATCCGTTTCAGTCTCAAAGCTGCTGTCATGTTCTTGGCCGCTTGATTGTTTTGCTGGCTGTTGATGAACGAGTGACATCTCTACAGTTGCACTGGTATTACCAGAAGGAGTAGGAGTACTCGGCTTCACCGAAGCGATGGGTGTCGTGGAAGCGATTTTGGATTTTCTGGATGCTTTCTTGCGACTTTTTTTTGCATTGTACTTACTTGCATTTGGAGACGCCATCATCATTTGTTTTTCTCGCTTACTTTGTCTTTTAGCGTCAAATCTTTGGGCTACGCGTCTGTCACTTCTGTTGTTAAGTTGAACTTCCGGCATATGTTTGATTCTTGAAATAAAACAATGAAGAACAGAAAGAAAAGAACGAGATAAACAAAAAAATACAGTTCTTATATACTTTTTTCTTTGACTCCCACGACAATTAATTTTTTTTTCCATCTAATGGAACGCCTTCACCCAGTTTTGTTTCAAAACACTTTGGCCAATCAGGGAAATACTTCAAATGAGTTTAAATTTTTAGATCCTTTTTTACATGTGCTATAATTGTGATTGGCTGATTTTATGTAATCTATCGATAAACTTATGTAAGGAGGAACGAAAATATTCCGTGATAAAGAACGGTTTAATAAACAAAAGAAAAAAAAACAATTTATTGGAAGAACGGATTTCATCTGGTCGGATAGAAAAAAAAATAGGAATTGACTAAATGAAGTGTGAATACGATTGTTTATAAAAAATGTAGTGTTTGACAAATTGATACAATTGAAAAGTAATGAGATAAAAGTATATCTTTATCCCAGGTATAAATAGACCAAAAGAACTCTGCTGCTAAGAAATAATTGATCCTGTTCATATTGCACAACTCTCCTGAGTTTTAATAATGAGTCAACCTTTCTGGTTTTGGAATAGATCTATACTTTGTTTCCTGCCTTAGGTTAAATGAATACTACTCGTTAGAATTGTTTCCAGTGAACGTTGTCCCATATCAGTGGATCGGGAGCATGAGTACTCTAATAAATCTTTAGTATTACAAGACACTTATTTATCAGGTTATGGAACGGTTACTTTAAAAGATGCATACTTGTTTGTCAAGTGTAATTGGCAATAAAAAATAATAGTTGATCATTTATTCATTATCTTTGTAATGAATAAATTAAGATCCCAAATATATAATGCCTTATCGATATTTGTATATTTGGTTGTAGAAATTAGGTATCCATTAATTCATACACTATTTCTTTATACTCTTTAGCAGCAGTATAATTATATCAATATATAAGTAAATGAACCATTTATATTAATAGCTATTCTATTCTCTCTCTGGGTAGCTAATCCATTGAGAGAACTATTAATATTAAGTTTCTCTTTCTTATAATTCTTGATTGATCTGAGAAGTTTCTCTTCTCGATCGGTGATATCGTAACTCAGTGGTATAGCATTCTGTATCCAGCTGTCATTCGTATATCGTATCTAGGCCAATCATGCAATTTTTTATATACAAGTATGTACTCGAAGTAGGAGAAGTTGTATAGCAGTATACAAGCGTATGCTGGTATGCAACATCAAAGGTTGTTTAAAGTTCATAGTTTTTTTATTTAAACGATTTGCTTAATTATTTATAAGTGAATCGTACCCAAATACGACACTAATAACGATTATTTTCTCCATATCAATTTTCAATCTTACCTTTAACGTTCCACTTGGTGTTGTTCCTGCACGCATGAGACTAATTGCAAGTTCTTGATCTTCAGCCTTGAGCTATCTGTTGTTATAATACACCCTTCTATCCTCGCTCAAAGGGTGTCATGATCGTGACACGTAGATGCATTAATTTTGGTAATTCTTTGTCAGCACCTTGTCGTCTACGTGTCAGCCATCAATCATCGAAAATGTGTCATAAATAAGTAATGACATACTAAACTTTGTCATTGCTTATTTTTATGCTAAATATCTATACAAATTTTTACTATAAATATAGCCTAACTTTCCCTCTTCTTTCTTCCCCTTCATCAGATATATTATGTAATAACCCTCTCTCCTCTTTTCCTCTTTTCCTCTTTCTCTCTCTCTCTCTCTCTCTCATAATAAATATAATAATTATCCTTTATTTTTCTGTTCTTATAAGCAAGTATTCTTCTGTCTGTCCTGTCCGCCTGTCCGCTACCGACAAAGGGTGATTGTGTTCAAAACGGCTGAATCGAATTGTCCATGACTGACCGATAGCTCTCGTATCCTTACGGAGATAAGCAAATGCGGAGCATCCTGTTCGTCCAGTGGTTCTGTTAGTTCGCTGAACCCCACTCTCTGATCCTTTATCATTTCCTGCATCTTCTGCATCTATTTTTGGAAACAATTTACCGAATTAATATACCACCATATGCCAGATTATGGTTATAATTACTTTCACCTTTTCTGGCAGAACGATAGTTACGAAAATGCTTACAAATCAACTTAATGTAAGATTCGTCGCTTTTGAGAAACTCAAAAGGGATATTCTTGGTCGTACGAAAAGACTGTATTTGAAGTCTTGCAGCTTCCTTGTCCAAGAATGTTTTTCCAACTAGAAATTCGGCTTTAAAAGCAGCCTTCACCTCAATGACACGTACATTCTGCTGGACAGCCTCAGCAAATGAAGGGACATCTCGTGTAGCTTTGACGCGGATATTCTCCTCTTCCGGGTCAGTAAGACATTCTCAGTCATACTGATCTGCCAGTTACTCTCCAGCATCGGTTTGTTCCTCGTTTTGTTTGTCGAAGATCTCCTCGAAACTATTTTTCACTTCTACAGCGGAGTTAATTACAGCCCAAAGGCTGTTGATTAGCAATTGGCTTTCATTCAAAGATTAGTGTGAATCGTTTGAATTCATTTTAAAATAAAAGTTTAAAAGAAAAAGAACAAAGCAAAAAAAAGTTTGGTACGCGAAAAAAAGTATGGTGCGCGAAAACGTGTGGTGCGCGAAAAAGTGTGGTGCGCGAAAAAGTGTGGTGCGCAAAAAAGTACGGTGCGCCCCAGGGGAAAAGTATGGTCCGCCAGCGAAAAAAAAATGGTGCGCTAGAAAAACTTTTTATGTGCAAAAATTATTTTTGGTCCGACCCGGAATTTATAAGTTGACCGTCACAAAAAACTATGGTGCGCGAGAATTTTTTTTCAAGCAAAAATTATGGTGCGCGTAATATTAGCCAAAATGAAACGATGTTTTGAATGTCTATGTCACGCTTTTTGAACTTTTTAATGTCTACGTCATGCTTTTTAGTATTTCTGGGTCGGTACTTCAAATCGACCTTGTAAATCGACCGTGTATCAATATTTACCCTTTTTTTTCTTCTTGAAAGCCACATTATCTTACCATGAAAAACAAAAGATCCACGAAAGACTCACAACTTAAGACAAAGTCTCATTCCGTATGTTTATTTGAAAGATCTCTTATAAAACACCTGAACTAACCCCGCGTAATTTTGTTTCTAGAAGGATTCCAACATGGGCAATTCACCTCCACGAAAAGGAAAGAGAAAATCGCGTGATCAATCTGTTGATATTGTCCCTAAAAAGCAAAAGCTGCGAGAAGAAGCAACAACAGGTGTTATCAGTAGAGCACTTACTTATACCAACTCCTTTGAGATATTGTCCAACAAATCTACAACCGACGAGAAACCTACGGTTGCTGCAATTCAACCAAGTGCCATTTGTAGTAGACCAAATGACATTGGTGTTAGACCAAATCTCATTGTTGGTAGACCAAATGGCATTGGTGGTAGTCAAAATGGTGAATCAAGTGGTGGTAGCGCCAATGAGTCAAGTGGCAGTAGCGCCGATAAGTCATGTTTAAGTAGCGCCAATAAATCAGGTAGTAGTAGTAGTAGTAGTAGTATTGTGATTGATCTTTCGTCGGACGAAGAAGATTTAAAAAATGAAGTAACGGATAGTGACAGCAAGTAGGTGAAAATTTTCTTTCTTTCTGTTATTAAATGCTAACTGAGACTATATAGCGTACTATTCCAACACGGCAGAATCTGTTTCTACAGCAGTGATTTAATTAGCCTGCAGCCCAGGAGATGGTTAAATGATAATGTTATTGATGTTGCTTTGTCTCTTGCAAAGAAAACAAATGACGTACATGTTTTCGATTCGCAATTTTTTGCCAAACTTCGTAAAATATCCGAGTATGTAGATATTTAAACTTATTGTTTGACATTTTATTAATCCACCCATTTATCTGAAAATGTAGATCTGATGGTACTCCTAAAAATTTTTATGCAGGCACCTCAGGCTGGTTCAGAAACCAACAAGTTCGCGACAGAAGATTCTGGCTAATTCCAGTTTGCGATCAGTAGGCTCTTCTATGTTAATTATGTTTCAGGATGCTTATTTTTTTTTAATTCTTTTTAGAAATCACTGGTATTTGATAGTCGTAACCCGCCACACCTCCCGAAAGTAAGCATTTTTCACCATAACATAATCAAATCGATTCTAACCTTTTTTAATAATAAGGCCTGTGGTCATGGTACTGGACTCCCTCCAAAAAAAGGCATATAGGTCATACAAGTCCGTTGATATTGTAAAGGCCTTTTTACGACAGAAGTACAAGGCAGAACACAAGCGTAAACTTCAACGTGTGCTTGTGAAGATTCTCGACGTTAGTAATTTGTTTTTGACCAGACATATGTAAATACTAACTTCATGAGTTTAGGTTCCGCAACAAACAAATAACCACGACTGTGGTCTACATCTCCTTCGGTCTGCCTCGCTGTTTATGAACCCAGCAGCATCCCTTTACACAAGGCTTGCTTCGGTAAGGATTACACAATGTTTAAATAATCATGTCTATTAACGTGTATTGAATTTTAGTCCAAGAAGCCTTTGTCAGCCGAGGATAACATCTTCAGAACAATTAAGGTGTCCACAAGAAATGAATTGTCGAGACGTATACACCCCCTTATTAGCAGGGGCCTTGTTTAGATATATTTATTGTTTGATACCCCTAACATCATCAAAATAGTTAACAATAATATACCATGGCAATTGCACATTTTTTTAAATAGTAAGATAGTTATGTATACCTTTTTTTTTTTTTTTTTTTTTTTTTTTGTGAGAGCGGGTGTGGTATTTGACAAAATTCTTACAATTGGAAAGTAATAAGATAAAAGTATATCTTTATTCGAGGTAAAGAAAGACTAAAAGAACTCTGCTGCGATGAATTAATTGATCTTTTTCTATTGAACAACTTCCCCTGGTAGTTGTGTTGAGTCAACCTTTCTGGTCTTCTAATAAATCTATACTCAGTTTCCCGCTTTACATTAAATAAATTCTACTTGTTAGAATTTATTTCAAGTGGTGTCGCCCCGAATCAACCGATCCGGGACATTCTAATAGTTCCGTTTAAAATACAGAATACCTGTAAGATATTGTGTAACGGTAGCTTGTTAAAAGATGCATAAGGCTTTTATGTTGAATTAGCTGTGTAGGACATCTAGTCATGTCTGATCATTTATCCAATCTGTTGATTATTTTTATCTAAGACTTGGTTAAATATGTGATCATAAATATAGAACATCTTATGGATGCTTGGATATTTAGTTGTAGAAAATAGGCATCCAAATATTCCATGCACTATTTTTCTTATACACTTACAGTGGTATAAGTTGTGTTTATCAATATATAGGTAAATGTACTATTTATAGAAATATCTGTTCTATTCTCTCTATGGGTAGCTAATCCATTGAGAGAACTATTAAAATTAAGTTTCTCTTTCTTATAATTCTTGATTTGATCTGAGAAGCTTCTCTTCCCGATCAGTGATATCGGAACTCAGTAGTATAGAATTCTGTATCCAACTGTCATTCGTATATCGTATTTAGGCCAATCATGCAATCTTTGATATAGAAGCATGTACTCGTGGTAGGAGAAGTTGTATATCAGTATACAAGCGTATGCTGGTATGCAACATCAAAGGTTGTTTTAATTTCATATTTTATCTCTTTGAAGGAATGGCACAATTATTCTTAAGTAAATCGTACCCAAATTCGACACTACTAACGATTATTTTCTACGTATTAATTTTCAACCTTGCCTTTAACGTTTCACTTGGTGTTGTTCCTGCACGCATGAGACTAATTGCAAGTTCTTGATCTTCAGCCTCGAGCTATCTGTTGTTATAATACACCCTTCTATCTTAGCTCAAAGGGCGATTGTGCTCGAAACAGCTGGATCGAATTGTCCATGACTGATCGATAGCTCTCGTATCCTTACGGAGATAAACAAATGCGGAGTATCCTGTTCGTCCACTGGTTCTGTTAGGTCGTTGAACCCCACTCTCAGATCCTTCATCATCTCCTGCATCTTCTGCATCTTTTTTTCAAAAAACTTACCGAATTAATATACCACCCTATGCCAGATTATGGTTACAATTACCTTCACCCTTTCTGGCAAAACGATACTTACCAAAATGCTTACAAATCAACTTAATGTAATATTCGTCGCTTTTGAGAGTATTAAAAGGGATATTCTTGATCATACCAAAGGCTGTATTTGAAGTCTTGCAGCTTCCTTGTCCAAGAATGTTTTTCCAACTAGAAATTCGGCTTTAAAAGCAGCCTTCACCTCAATGACACGTACATTCTGCTGGACAGCCTCAGCAAATGAAGGGACATCTCGTGTAGCTTTGACGCGGATATTCTCCTCTTCCGGGTCAGTAAGACATTCTCAGTCATACTGATCTGCCAGTTACTCTCCAGCATCGGTTTGTTCCTCGTTTTGTTTGTCGAAGATCTCCTCGAAACTATTTTTCACTTCTACAGCGGAGTTAATTACAGCCCAAAGGCTGTTGATTAGCAATTGGCTTTCATTCAAAGATTAGTGTGAATCGTTTGAATTCATTTTAAAATAAAAGTTTAAAAGAAAAAGAACAAAGCAAAAAAAAGTTTGGTACGCGAAAAAAAGTATGGTGCGCGAAAACGTGTGGTGCGCGAAAAAGTGTGGTGCGCAAAAAAGTACGGTGCGCCAACGTTAAAAGAGTATGGTGCCCCAGGGGAAAAGTATGGTCCGCCAGCGAAAAAATCATGGTGCGCTACAAGAATTTTTTATGTGCAAAAATTATTGTTGGTCCGACCCGGAATTTATAAGTTGACCGTCACAAAAAACTATGGTACGCGAGATTTTTTTTTCAAGCAATAAGTATGGTGCGAGTAATATTAGCCAACATGAAACGACACTCTATTTGATGTTTTGAATGTCTACGTCACGCTTTTTGACCTTTTTTATGTCTACGTCATGCTTTTTAGTATTTCTCGGTCGGTATTTCAAATCGACCTTGTAAATCGACCGTGTATCAATATTTACACTTTTTTTTTTTCTTGAAAGCCACATTATCTTACCATGAAAAACAAAAGATCCACGAAAAACTCTCAACTTAAGACAAAGTCTCATTCCGTATGTTTATTTGAACGATCTATTATAAAACACCTGAACTAACTCCGCGTAATTTTGTTTCTAGAAGGATTCCAACATGGGCGATTCACCTCCACGAAAAGGAAAGAGAAAATCTCGTGATGAATCTGTTGATGTTGTCCCTAAAAAGCAAAAGCTGCGAGAAGAATCAACAAAAGGTGTTATTAGTAGAGCACTTAGTTATATCAACTCCTTTGACATATTGTCCAACAGATCTACAACCGACGAGAAACCTACGGTTGCTGCAATTGAACCAAGTGCCATTTGTGGTAGACCAGATGACA